AGCTAGGACAAGGCATTCCCTAGATGTGTGCAGGTTTAGTGCTGATGCATCTGTGAGCCGCGCTCCAGCTTGTGCTGTCGCACGAGGAGGAGTGTTATTGCATGCAGCACAAATCAAGAAGTGTACCAAGCATGGGCTTCGAAGCATGGCCCCTGCGCAAGTGAATGACACGCCATACATGGCTCAAGTGACGCACAAAGTGAAGTGCGCAGGGTCGTGGGGATCCTCCCGGGGTTTACTTCCGTGGTAGCTCCAGGGCTGGTTCAGGGTTGAGGCAAGGAGGTCAGGTGTGCGTGTGGAGGCCCGATGATTGGGTAGCCCTTTGGAGCTTGATCTGACTTTCGTAGGCTATGGCCCGGCAGTACAGCCATCTAGATGATGTTCCCCCGCGGGCTCTAGCTGGCGCTAGTCCTGCTTTCTCCGTTATAACTGATTCTACGACTCCTGAAGCCCTTCCTCAAACACACACCAAATCGTCGCAGTATTGCCTCATGAATACCGCTGTCATGCCTGGGACAGCGCTCGGACGCCTGCGGGTGTGCGTGCAGTCAGCCCTTGCTTGCAACCGTGCGCATGTTCCCGGGCTTGGCAAGTTATTGGGAGACGGCCCCAAGCCCTGAAGCAGTACGCTGTCTGAGCTTGCTGCGCAAAATTTCTGAATTTCCGTGCGGCCACGCGGCAAGTTGAATGTCATTGCGATTCATTTTGCAAAGGACCTGCTGACCGGCGCGGGGCTGTTTCCAGGTGAGTCAAGCAGCGAGCCGACAGGCAAGCACAAGCAATGCACCTAGGGAGTTGCTCCTGGCTGGCTTGCCGTATTGGATGAGCTGCCAGAAAATGCATCTGGATCACTGGAGAATCAGTGGAATCCGCACTGGTTGTGTGAGGAATCCAGTGGCATTAACTTAGAGTTCAAGCGGTTGCATTGATTGTCATCCTGGCTGAGGCTGGCAACGTCATAGAAGACTTGCCAAGACAAGCACAGCCCTTCACTCCTGGGGCTGAGCAAAGACCCACATCTTTCCACAATGTCATACAACCAGCCTCGCTCGTACCTTGCACAAGCTATCACAAGCTGCATACCAGACACCCCATCGTACTCGCAAACAGCAGAGTGCGCATCTGCGTCGCTACGGGAGCTTTGTTGGATCAGGCCCTCTTCAAAAGCCAGGTGAGAACTTCTGCCATTCCGGAGCCACCGTGAAGGGAGCGTTCAAGAAGTGGCCTTGCAAGCTGAACAAGTTCAAGAGTTCAAGCGTGATCGTCTGTGGTGATGTCACTGCGCTGTTGGATCCACGGGAGGTGGTCCTTCGTGACCGCTAGGCCGTCATCATCGATCTCACACAAGATCGCCAGGCGTGGCCGCCGAACGGTTGGGAGACGGCCAGACTAAGGGCCCAGCTATATTAACCCTTAAAACTCTCCCTCCACTGTTGGAATTCGGTGAACGCACGCTTGAATACTACGTGCATGAAACGAACCTACTATTCATTCAGGGATGCTTCGCACATCCTCAAATGCTCGCCCAAATCCGGAAACCTTGGTGATCATATCAGGCAAGAACATGACGTGTTGGGAATCATGGAAGATCACACATCCAGAGCCTACGTGAACTTTGCAGCCCACTCAACTCCCTACACAATACACAATTAGCCTTGTAAAAATTGGAGGGTGGGTTGGGGAATTGTGTGGCTGGGGAGGTGTGGCGAAATTCTCACAAATCCCTGAAAAACCCATAAAAGGCCAAAGACACTTGGGGCGCCCCACAGCTTAGTACGTCTAGGCAACGGAAGCTGCCCAAACACAACACAGCCAGGTGGTCGTTTTGGGAACACTGCGCCAAAGCTTCCACGCGTGACAAGAAGCGGGCTTCAAGCAGGCCAAGAAAACGTACCTGTTGCATGTTGGCCTGCTGCGCTGAAGAACACCCACAGGCACAAACCTACCCCCTGACAAGGTAAAACCTGGCAGCTGACAGTGCGCTCGGATGCGCTCGTCAGTGGCCCTGTCCTGGAAATGCCTGTGGAAAAAAGCGAAATAGTTTGTACAACAAAGCCATCGTGAAAATCCGTCCCAAGGCTTCCCTCTTGGGTCCCATTCTGCTTTGTCAATGAACACTGTCGACGACCCATCTTGGGGTCGAGAGCTTCAGCAGCAACGCGCAAAAAGCTTACGTCACGGAATCAAGCAGGCAAAAGATGAGAGCTACTACCAACGCAACGCAGCTTCTTTTCTAAGCGGCTTCAGTGATGGCAGGGTCAAGGGTGGGTGCCGCAAGACTTTCCTCGAGCTCTTGGCTCTGCTCCGCCTGAGTCAAGCGAAGAATCTTTAAAGCCAAAGACAAGAAAATAATCTTCTGTAACCCCCAAACACAACTGCAACTGAACTGGTTCAAGGTGTGCTCTAGTAGAGAATAGAATAGACGTGCAAGAACGTGCCTGATCCGTTGGCTCGACGCCTGGAGCCAAGGCGGTTCCCTCTGTGTGGGTGTGAAGCTGGGAGGAACAACGGAATCACAAGTCTCAGGCAACAGTAGGGCGGATGCAAGCTGCTACACGGCCCGACTGCATCGACCCCGAAGCAGAAAGAAATCTGGAGCTACAACTTCAAACCTGTTGTGTAATTACCACTCTTGTTTCTGGGTCCAACTGCGAGCCCTTATGTGTCACAAAAACGAAAGACGTGTGCAAATCTGTATCTTAGAGAGTGGTGCTCAAACGAGTCAACGGGACCTGAACACAGAACAAGCCTTGGCTTTGCGAGTGATTTGCCTTTGAAGTCTGAAGCCGTGAAATGCTCTGAAGTTGGCAGCGCTGTCAAACCGCCCTGTGAGGCCCCGTGAATTCCGGCTGCATGCCTCGGAGCAGAAGGCACAGTGGCAGCAGTAGCAGCAGGGACGCGCGGCAGAGCACCACGAAGAAGGGCAGCCGTGCCCAAGAGCGCCCCTGCCAAAGGATATGGGATCTTTGATGTTCAGAATCTTGATGCATGCCGATGCCTCATCATGCGGGAGCCGGAATGGTTCCCCCTCACTCATGACAACATTGAACACCTACTAGACATCCTCCTGGCCCTCGACATATCTGCATCCTCTTGTTTATGAAGCTTCGTCTTGGCGACACTTTCCAAAAATGAGTTCCTCCGGAAAACAATATTATATTCAGCAGAGGTGGCTTTGGGGGAAGAGATTAGTTGATTGTTGCTTGGTGATCTTGGCCTCTGGTTGGGTTGAAGGCGTAACCAATGTTGCTTAAGGAGGTGATTCAGCTGCCAGCTACTCCGTCTGGGACAGCAGTCATGGGAGCTTGGCCAAATTCTGGTAGGCTCCAAGAGCCATGAATCCCATGAATGTGCGGCGAGAGAGTCATGTGGCCAAATCACTGGGATGCTCTGCAAAGACTTTTTTGTTGACAACCTTTCATGTGGTTTCTGCTTCTTCTACTACTACTACTACCACTACCTACTACTACTACTACTACTACTACTACTCCTTGGTGTCGTAACATAATCTATAACCAAAAGGGGGCCATCATTTTGAGAACAATCCAACTGAAGCAAGCTCAGAATCCTAAACCCAGCCATGTCCAGAGCCGAGTGCTGGAGCAGGAATAATGGAAATATTGATGGTAGCAGTGTTAATGCTGATAAGTTGGAGATTAGTAAGAGTAGCAGTAGTAGTTGTTGTAGTAGTAGCAGCAGCAGTAGCAGTAGCAGTAGTAGTGGTAGTAGTAGTACTACTAGTAGTAGTAGTAGTAGTAGGGGTACCAAAATGGGACCCTAGTTTGGGGAACTACTCAGTTGCAACCGGAGCAGGAGTGCAATGCTGGGACGAGTGTTTGAACATGACCGTATTCCTGCAACTACTTGTTCTACTGCACCCCTCTAAGGTTTAACCTTCCCACTGTGCTTTTCGCACTTCAATGGCTTCATTTGCTGCAGAATGCTATGCCAGGTCGGCTGGCTGGAAGGCTCCATGGCAATATAGTTCATGCCAGAATCCTCTAGACAGGCTGCTTAATTCATCAAAGCCTGTGGTTGCTGATCTCCCTTTGGCCTCTCCAGAGCCAAGATTGAAGGCCTGGCGGCTTGGAAGTAAGGCTTTGAGATTTTGAGTGGGTTCACAGGAATGCATACTGCATGAACACTCTCAGCCCCTTGTACGTGAATACAGGGCTGAAGGCTTTGGTGGGTTGGGTGTAATTACTCTGTTCCCACATGAGCTATAGTTCAAACTCCTAGTATCCCCCTTCATAACCCCTATAGTAGTCCCCTATTTAGACTATGGCTCACATCATCTCAGCTCTGCATCCTGTACACGGATCAGTTGGCTGTCTCAAGCGTTTCTACAGATTAAAAGATGTGGGTTCTTGCCTGAATGATGAGGAATGCCACGCGTGCTGAAACCTCGCACCAGGCTTACGAAAGACTTTGAGATCCAGTTTGCGTGTTTTGGGTGCTAGGAATGCGAAAGCTTCTTGCCTGATCCCCGAGATCCAAGATGAGGCTGAGCATGGCAAACCCAGAAGCTTCAAAATCCTGCAGCTCTATGAGAGAGGCTGGGAGGCACGAGCGTGAAGACTTGCAATGCTCAAAGGATCCAAGCTGTCCTTTGGGGCGCACTGCGCGCATATGGCCAGATTTGGAAGGAAGCACAGGCTGTCCACTGCACCTGGGTTGAGGTTTGTTATCTCTTGCGGGCAACTTCTATTGGATTAAGTGATGTACTCCTTGCTATATAAGCAAGGGGACCGACAGCTGCTGCACCCAAGGCATAAACCCAAGGGCTGCCTGAGCTCAGCCAGACTTCAGGGCTCGAGGTCAAAATGGTTGTCGTATGAAGGCGGAGGGATGCCCTTGGAAATCTGTGCAGTGACGTGGTGCTTGGAGTTGCAGCGGCCAGGAAACAATGCACTGCACCACCGACGCATGCCTGACACGGCAGCCACATGTCCCAACGCCATGCCAGCTTTTAACCTATTCCAACATGCTGAGAGTCCGACTGCAAGTATGGCTGTGCTGATGATGGATGGGACCAGTCGCTTCCTGTGTTGCGGCAGAGCCTGGCAGGACATAATCTCATGCATTCACATGTTGCTCAGGATGTCTCAATGTTGCGCGCTGACACACGGGCACCTGGCCTGGAAGCCCAGCAGCGCAAGCAAAGATCCCAGGTTGGAGCTAGCAGAGGTAATCGACACCCAGACACCACTCACCTGGCTGAGATCTGAGGCTGAGACAAATGGAAAATGACATCATGCACGCTACCTTTGTAGACGTGAAGCTGGAGAATGCGTCGAGCTCTGTCGGCATCTCAGCACATCAGCCATTGTGCAGGTTGAAGGCCTAAATGACCTTGAGCCAACTATTGTCAACCACTCGGGCTGGTACTGCCCCGCGCATGAAGAGGAAAACCGCGGCGAGCCAACTGCCTATAAACTGCACTGAGCACACGTTTCAAGCAACCCTCAGCCCACCTTGAGGTATATACCGGCAGAACCTCTTCTTGCCTTAGCCCGAAGCTCACGAGCAATCGCAGGGCAAGTTTTTCCTTCACAAACTACAGGACCCGACCGGTTTCGGGAGCCCGCATGCTAACACCTGGTGCTCTCTGATCGTCTCTTGACGCCGTGGAGGAATAGGTGCAGGATAAGCTTGCAAATCTCCCAGAAACACGTCACAATATCTGCCACTCTTCTGGCCTGCACAGAGGCGACCAGGTTGTGCAGAGGACGGAAAGGCGATGAGCCTGATGTAGGTTGCCACGGCCACAGAGTCGACGTGGCTTCTCCAAAGCAAGCATGCTGTCAAGGCACGCAGCAAGGGCAGCTACAAGTGGCACGACCACCTGAGTATGAAGCCACACGTTTGCATGCATGCTTAGAAGTCATCAGCAGCTCTCTTCACAAAAGTCTACCCGAGGCCGGCACACAAGCTTGAACGGCCATGTAATGACTACCTGAAACGGGAGGATTCCGCATATCCTACTCAAAGCAGTAACTGCCGTATTTTTTTCAACACTCCTTCACACCCTTCTGCTCTCTTTAGGCTTTTAGTTGGGGGTGAGGGAGCAAGCCCCCGCGCCCCCGCTGCGTGGGGTTGGGTCTGTGTTTAGTCTTCTATGTTGGACTAAAGCTGTTTAAGCAAGGGAGTATAAACCAAAGATCAACTGCTCATTATTCACGGTCCAGCGGGCTCCGCCCGTAGCACGGGGCTTTCCACGCACAAGAGGAGAAATGAATCACGGAATAGTTAGCCAGCGTACCGACTGGCAAGCAAGACCCCAATCTTCTTCTTTCGCCCCTCATCCCCGCAGTCACGGTATCAACCGCTCTTTCGCTTTCGCTATGGGATTGGCAGGGGTTTCCCCTGCCGGCCCTAGGCATCCCCCTCGTGCTTGTCATGGGTCATATCGCAAAACTTCTGGGGTGTATACGAAAATAACAATCTTAGTTGGGACGAGGTAGGACACAACCAAAGGCCCCAAACAACACAAGCAAGAAATGAGCCTTAGGCTCATGTTGATTTCGCTTTCCCCTCTGTTCGAACAGATGATCTGGGTTCCCAGCTTGAACAGAGTGAGATAACTAGGTTAAGTATAAGTTCGAAACAGTCATAGCAGACAGAACAACCTCAACTGCTCTCTCTCTCTCTCTCTCTCTGCAGCCCAGCTGCTAAAAACTTTCAGCATGAGCGGGGAGGCCGCGAAGGCAAGAAGGCTGCCTGCCTGGTGTCAGTTGCATCCGGCTGAACTGAAACTATCTGAGCTTCATCTAGGACTCCGAGCGGTCTTAAAAGAAAAGGACGCGGCTTGAACCTGCGCACGTTTTCATAAGCTCTTTCAGGCCACAAGTTGGAACAATGCAATGAACTTAGGCTGACAGCCTCTGTTGCAGAGAGCCCCGTTTTCCGCCTGGCTGTGTGAAGCATGAAGTATTCTGACTACCCTCCCGAGTGAGTAAAAATGCATGCTGCTGAGGTGCATTAGCTCTACCGACACGCCGTCGAGCACAACCTCCTGAGCAGAAAGAGAATGACTTCTCATCAACATTGGGCTCTCTCCAGTGGGAGGCAAAGGCTTTCGTGACGCCACGTTACCCACGCTGACTTAGAAGCTGCCTGTAGACATGGCACCCCCAAATAGGATTTGGCTCAGGTGCAGCGGCGCCCGTGCAGAGAGCAATCTCCGTATAAGCCACCTTGCTGTGCTTCTTGGGTGCATATCAATCATCGACTCAGGACTAACGGATCTGGGCTCCTCGCAAAGTAGCTCCAACGTGTCCTGCTGCGGGCAAGGCGGACAGTTAACGGACTTATTCAACAGTTTCCTGAGCGCTCGAGCACAAACACCAGTTGAAGAGCAGAAGCTAAAGAGAGGCGACAATTGTCAAACAACGTGTTTGACAGCTAGTCAAAAGCCGTGACATGACAATAGCAATGTCAGAAATCCAAGCCGTCTATGGTATTCTTTTATCCCATACAACTCCTGCTCTGTGCTGCTTGGAAAAGTGCCGCAGCCCAAACAACTAGGACTGTCACCTGGCCGCAGTCAGCCAACAGGTCAGCCTTGGTGGAGAACGAGGCCCTGGCTAGGATCGGCCGCCGACCCCAACTACATCGCCGGAGGCCATCAGACAAAGCACCTTGGATCGGTTGCTGATCTGGCTGCGATATGGCTGTGAACTTGTTTCTCTTGTTGGGCATCTGGAGGCCTTGCCTAACAGTGGCCTTGCCAGTGCCGGTGCGAGTAGCGCATTAGCGTAAAACGCGTTCACCTGATCATGTTGCATTGTAAAGTGTTGCTAGCAAAAGCACACTCGCGCCTCTTCAGGATAGGCTCTGCCATCCTTACGTGTAGATGAAATAGTTCAGTAGACTCGTCAGGCGCAAGCGCGGAATACTGCTATGCCAGCAGAATCATCGCCGAGCATCCAAATCAACATTCAGAATCAGCCCAAGCGCAGATAGTGGCAAGCTTTGCGCGAATGCCTGAATCTTTCGAACTCTCCCCCAAGCCCAGATGCCAGGTAGGAATCGTTAGTTATAGGACCCCTGACCTATGGCGCCACCCACCCCCAAAAGATACACATCTATCCCAAGGAAACCTGGGTGTCATAGCTCAAAAAGGCAAAAGCTTCCCGAAGTGTGATGGAGTTTTGTTTAAAATCAACTTTGAACGATCTTGAGTACTGGGTTCCGGAGTGCGATCAGGATTTTCCCATATTATTTGTAGCTTAGGCTGTGGGTGGGTGGTGCCGCTGGGCAAGCGGTCCGCTAACTATTTTACCCTTGCCATTTGCTTACCAACATGCTGGATCAGAAGCTTGCACATGCAAACTTGCTCTTGATGTTGGGTCTTGCAGCAAGTTGCAACCAGGAAGTAGTGCACGAAAAAAGCCTTGGAAAGGCATGGCGAAGGAGTAGAACGATGCAAGATACAATGCAGACATCGTTGGAGGAACGACTACTGCTGATTATGCATCTTTTAACTAGCTGGGTCAGGATGTCCAAAAACTGCTCGTGGTCAGGCAGCCCCGCTTGAAAAAGATCGAAGGACAACCATCCTCTGAGTCTCGACCCGTCACCTATTTAGGCACCTTTCTAATGTGTATTTCATAAGGCTGGCCTTTGTAGTGGTAGTAAGACTCTCTTAAGAGGCCTCTCACGGTGAGCATTCAGCCCGTATTGCGCCTTTTGGTCTGTTGGTTTAGCTGCACTTCCCAATTTGAAACCTGGCCAAGGTGCAAAGTGATGATGCGTGCAGCGCTGAACGCCCTCTTGCAGAGACATGCGGTGAGCAGATGCAGCAAGTATTGATGCTACGGAAGCTTAACACCAAAAGCGAGTACAGAAAATGCTTCCATCAAGTTATGAGAGCTAGCACATGCTAACGGATTTCATCACACTGTCTTGCTTCGCTGAGGGACAGCGATGACTCTGTACTCCAACTACAACTGCTACAAATCCAACAGTGCATGGTTGCCACTTGTGAGCCAGTACAACAAGAGAGGATTTGTGCCCCGTCAGTTAACGATGGCCTTTTCCAATTTCTCACCGCCAGGGCATATCATGGATCCAAACCCATAAAGTGACAATACTTTGGGGACACTCCGCTTACCCTAAGTCTTCAGTAGGGGATGCTGAAGTTCCTCCAGCTTTCTCGCAGGTACTGCAGGCCACTCCAGGCTTCCATAAATCCTGAACCCTTCAGCGTCAGTACTTATGATGCTCGACGTTTTCTGAATATAAAAGGAACCCACAACACCCCCATTAACAAACCCACCAGTCGATCTAGCTAAGGCCATACCGTAAACCCCAACCCAGACCCTTACTCAAAAACCCACAACAGACCCACCGGAAACTCAACCACACGACCTAGATCCATACCCCCTAACACATAGACAAGTCCAGCGAAAAGCCATAGTCATAGTCGTATTTTCTGGGAACGGCATGCCAAGTCATTGCCCACCGTCCATGCTTGGTGAAACTTGCTTGTTGGATTACCAACGGCATAGCGGATCCGATTGTAGAGAAATTTGTCCAACCGAGCACGTGCAAGCTTAGAGAAACCCATCCTTGCCCGGATGCGTTGAAGTCAGGAAGTGGTCTGAACTGCCTTGGGTCCTGACTTGAGTACTGATCTGCTTCGTTATGTAATTTCCTAGGCAATGGCGAGAACACGGGTGGCTCTATGTTGTTGACGGACATGGTAAGCGACCTGTTAAGCAGCGGGTGAGATACCTCATCAAGTCTCGCTTGATGAGCCCAGCCCACCAGCTCACTCATCTGCAGCTTGACCTTCGCCTGCGATGAACGATTTGGGTAGAAAAAGGTGGTTCCGAGCAAATAAATAATCAGGTCCAGTACTGAGGTTTAGCATGCAAGCAGTTGCAGAAGCGTTCGAGATGTTCAAGCTGGAGCAAGCAGACCTATCGCCCGAATTGTGAACCATGCGTATTTTCAGCGAGGCGATTTCGCAGCAATGTCCTCAAGCTTCGGTCGATGCTGCAGCAACCTTGCAGAGTGTCGCTGGCTTGAGCAGAGGCTCCATCTCATCACATACTTTCGCGTTTTCTTGCCGCTGCAGAAAAACTTCTTTTAATTCTCTGCGCTCCAGTGTGCACGTGCCCGCCTCTGTTGGCACCTCGGGCGGTGGGTCCGGAGCTTGGGCGCTGTCTGGACTTGCTGCCTCTGGTGGCCTTGCTAACAGGATCGTTGGATTAAGAGTGCTCTATGTAGCTGAAAGATTACTGAGTACCCTGCACGTCGCTCTGTTCAGGAGCCTGCACAGCCGCCGGGGCACAACGCGTTGCTGCAGCTGTTCCTTCTGCATAATCTCTGCCTCTCTGAACCTCTCGAGCCCTCCTCTCGCCTCTGGGGGAATCGTGTACTCAACCTCGGCTTGGATCAGATCCGGAACCATCGAGGATACAATGGTGCCGGTGTCCAACCTCGGCTGATTCTGTGACTCAAGTCGCTCCGTCACTCTTCAGTTGGAGACGCTTGTATCTCCATGCAAGCTGCAGTCATTGCAGTCTCCTTCGCTTTAAGCCGCCCACCGTGCGGCGCTGCCGAACAGCACCTCGAGGTGGGAGGCCACAAGAGGTACGAGGATATCGGCCTGGAGCCACCAAGCAAGGACGAAAAGAAAAGAAAAAAAAACAGCACCCCTTTCATTTGGAAGCGCAATACGCTTAGGGATGTGACGAAGTGTCTGCAGAGCTTGTGGAACTCTACCGCCTTTGGTGAACCTGGCAGAGATTGAGCCCCAGGAGTCAGGGTAACTCAGGGCAGCATCGCAACTTTCGGGTCAGGATCCCAGCCTGACCGCAGATTTTGCGAGGCCAGGACCGAGCGCAGCAAGTTCACGGAAGCCATGCAACACTCGTAGCCTGCAGCTTCTCATGGTTAGGCCCACGCACTTTCACGGGCCGCTGCTTTTTGCCGTCCTATGGTGCGGTCTGAGATTTCTCACGTGTTTTACGATATCTTTGGGCTCCAGCAACGTGCGACAAATATCAGGCTTGACCCGGTAAAGGGGCTATTTTGCAACCCCATGTGCTTCTCAACGCAATGCTGCGATTGTAACTGGGTGATAATCCTGACTGCCACCGTGAGACAGTGGGTGACGACACTCACCCGGAGCCCATAGAGCGCACACTGTCTCAGTTCGTTGAAGACCTGTCCATCCAAGAATGCTGGTCTTGCTTCTGTGCTCCACCCCTAAGACCCTGCCAACTCTTTGTGGATCTTGTGGAAGCGCTTGTAAGGGCTCGTGTTTCGTACTTGCTAAATGCAGCGCTTTGTAGAGGCATCTCCCTCAAAAGCTCAGCGTAGATTTCCCATTGGAGCAATGCCTGGACAATGTCGTTTGTCAGGACTGCCAGAGGCCGATGTCGAGTAAGTTCCAGAGCCTCGGGCGCACTTCTGGTAGTGTCCACAAATTCGGGGACCCCACCGTAGACCCCCAAAGTCTCTGGTCCTTATTATGGGGGGCCCCCAAAAAGGGACCCTTATTTTTTGGAATGTGCTCACTCAATTGAATGATTTGCGTAGTAAGCCTTGACCCATCTCCCAAGGTGCCTGTGGATGAAGCCAGCCAGACGCCTCGCTGCCGCTGCCTGTAACCAGTAATTCTACTACTAGTAGAAGGATTATATGTATTAGATAGGGTTTTATATCAGTTTACATGGGGCCATATAGGGATGATAGTATAGGGTTGTAATGTGGCTATATACACCATGACACAGTGTCCCTATTGCTAGTATTATTCCTACTGATGTTATCATTATTAGACTATTGTATTACAAAATCAATCAGCCACACTCGCTTAGGGTCTTCCAAGCCGTATCTAGAAGTCCTTGAAGGCTCAGTGCCGCCGTTGAAGTTATTGGATTTTGCTCAGCGAGCTCAAGGTGCTTGCTGGTTGCCGTGTTGTGCATGGGCCAATGGGTCTTGGGCCTCAGTCGCCGGCCGATGCTCCAAGTTTTATCCATGGAAGCTGTAGGCGGGTGCAGGCCCGTGGCGCAGTGGTAAAATAGCTTATCATACTCCGCTAGCGCCTGCCAGGGCTGTAGAAGGTACCCAGTCGTAGCGCCCAAGCTCAGCGTGGAAAGTCAGCAGCGCGCCATCTAGCATCTCCCGAGAGTACTGCTCCATGCGCGCCTGCGTAGCCGAGCTGAGAAAGGGACACAGCCAGTTTGAACCAAGATACAAGATTAAGAGGTGCCGATGCTAGGCCTCGAAAATCCCTGCCACTGCCGGGAAGAAGTGGCCACCTGCCACTTGCTGAAGTCTTTGCCAACAATCCCTCGCACCCTTCCCATCGATTCCTTATTCCCAAGCGGACGGCCTAGCCGCTTCAGCGTGGACGACGCATGGACACACTGTCGAAGGACTGTGGTCAGCTGCGCGGCATCAATCTTTGCCTTAGTGGAGAAATTGCACATTGGTTGGAAGTCAGCAATGACCCAGAAACTTTTCTCGCCACCCGTGGTTCTGTCCAAGCTCAGAGTGCGACTTCCAGAATTAAGATGTCATGTAGCTTAGCGTATGTGGCAAGCCAAGGTGCGCTGAGCGACGTGGTGGGAGCTCTCCCCTTGGCCCATTGACCAATTTGCCGGCAAAGAGAAGTGATATCCAAAGATGCTCTACGTGATTGCTTCCACACCACAAACGCCTGAAGTCAGCAAGACCCCGGCACCACTCTTCGCCTGTGAAGACAAGTAGCACTTGTGCTTGAGCTGGAAGGCATTACATGATGGCGAAGAAGCCCCATCAGCCACCTAAGCAAGTGCATGGGAATCTGCCATGCTGCCGTGGGCCCAGGCCCTATCATCAGCAAAATGCTGGCCAAGGCACGTGACCTGGCCGTTAAGCCATGTCCCCAAGGGACCGTCATCTTGCGGAAACAATGCCTCAGGACAACCCCAGTCCCTGCAGGATGCTGAAAGCTGAAGACTTCATGACTCATCCACACATTCTTCGGGAGTCATCTGCTTGAGACCATTCAACAACGAAATCTTGAATGCGATGCCTTGTACTGCGTGCCAATGTCGTACACATGCCTCGGCTTTTATGCTGGCCGTCTGCAAAGACAAGAAACATTTAAGGAAGCCAAGAGGCGTCCTGAGTAGATCAGCTGCATTCCGTAGAGCTGTCCCCACCTTGATGCTGTCTCTGCTTCGGCAACTTTGGCAAACATCATGAACATCTACGGTCATTGTCGTTGTGTGGGGCTTGGCTGAAGCACGTCTCAAAGTTCTGTCGATGGCTAAGGATCCAGCACTGCCGCGACTGTGGCGCAGGAGCTCCACCTGCTGCTTGTGGCTGTCCAAGAACTTGCTGCGATGCCTCTTCAGGAAGCAATGCTCATCTAAAGCTCCTGCTGCAGTTGCGTTCTATTCGCTGTGGCCTCCGTCAGAAGGCGTCTGGAACTAGCCTCCTCCCCTCTCCCTGAAGGCCAAACTTTTGTCACATACCCCCCGAATTTGATCTGAGGTGGCCCAGCACCCGTCCTACCCGTCCTGATTCCTGCCTACCCGCTGTAAACCCAGCAACCGAAGAATGAGGACGCCTTTGTACACTGGCATTTACTTCAGAGCTGGCATTAGTGTCACGATGACGGCTGCTTCTGCTTACGCAGAGGCACTCGATGAAGAGCTCGCGCAGCTCCTCCTCCGAGTGGCGCTGCACGCGCCGTAGAAAGCCCACGATGCGTACACAGGCAGGCAGGTGTATGTCCTGGGTGGAACTGTTTGATATCATTGCCGTAGTTATGAACGCGTCTAGAAACAGCAAGAACAACAGTGGCAGTGGTGGCGGTGGCGGTAGCAGTTGCAGCTGCCACAGCAGCGGTGGTGGGTGTTGCTGGTGCTGGTGTTGGTGCTGGCACTGGTGCCGGTTTTGCCTGGCTGCGACCTGCTGCTGCTGTGTGTGGCGGCGGTGGCGAGGTGCAAACAACAATCAGCCTGTATCACTAGTGATGAAACCTACAAGTAGCTTGTTGCGAGCTTGCAGAAAACAAACCTCTTGCATAGATCATGGTGCCAGGGGTCGGTTTTCAGCTGCGCAGCCAAGGAATCACGGAGGTTGGCCCTTTGTACAGCCACCTGTCTCAATGAGGTGCAGGTGCGGGTGATGTCTGGGTTCAAGGGAGCTACCAAGGAACAAGGGCCTTGCATGATAAGAGTGACAAAGGTGAGGTGACTGTGCAAGTCATGATCTAGCCTGATCCTTGACGTGCGTCAGAACAGCTATATCTTCGCCACGGGCTTCGTGTGCTTGCAGCAAGCTATTGCAGAAAGCCTTGGCTGTGGCAGTGGCACACTAGATTCCGAGCACGCGGCTGGCGTGAGGAGCCCAAGATGAACAGCTGTTGGCTGTGCCCTTGTAGCGGCCAATAGTCCGAGATGAAACCAACAAGTCTACGCACAAAGCCTTCGCATGGGTACCATATCAGAAAGCTGTTGATGTTGAATGCCGGCCCTTGTCACTGTCATGCGGAGCACCGTTTTCTTGCAGCCAAAGCCACAAGAAGCTCAAGGGACTCTTCATACATCTGGTTGCGGACACACGCATCCAACCTTAGAGATACACAAAGTCTCGAGATCATCACGCGCGCGTGCGCTTCCTTCGCTTGCCAAGTTGCAGCTGAGGTAGCTCCAAAAGCTCCAGCAGTGCCCCATGCTGCGACAGCCTTTTTACACAGCTCAGCACCAGCATGCTTGAAACTGCGCTTGCCCTTCACCCACAGCCGAGCAACACGTTGCGGAGTGCTGCCCGACGTGTCCCAAGGCCTTGACATTGGAAACATCTTTGAAGCTTGTGCCCTTCTGTTTGTCGTCAGCATTTGGAAAGTGTGGTGTGCTGATATCCCCTGCATCTTGCGAAAAACATCACAAAGCAATCTCCCCCATAAAGGCCTGCTGCGGTATCTTGCAACTGCGAAATGGTGTCCTGTCAGCCCAGAAGTGGTGTCAGGGGCAGGAACCCTGGTCATGCTGGTCGCATCGTCCTGGGTGGGCTCCAGAATTTCTGCCATCCTCAGTCTTTGCGAGCTCTGGAGCTGGGCATCAAAATGCTTTCAGGAGCCCTGAGGCCACAGCTCCTGCAGGCTTTGGTGAATGCTGGACAACTCCTGCGGGAGAATGTGGCATAGAAAAATAACAGAGTTCCTTTGACTCCTCGCCACTTTCAAAACATTGACCTCCCTCTGCTCCTGCCGTACTCCCTCGGTGACCTCAGCACTGCCAATGAACGCGCTGTAATTCTGCACAGCGAGCTGCTCCATCTCTCTTTCGCAGCGGTCCTGCAAGCTGCCAACCAAGCTTTCCAAGGCACATCTCTCAGGCCTTGTGGCCTTGGTATATAGTTTGATGCTTGCCGGGACATGGAGACATTGTCCGTCCTTCTCGAGGCGTAGATTGTCAGGCTCACGTGCCAGAGCCTCGTACCTGAGTCGCTGCCGCGCTTTGGATACTACAGCTGCCCAGCAAAGTGCGAAGGAGAACGCAGGCAAAGACAAGTTGCGTGGACGACGTGAGGTGAGGAAAGTACGATCTGGCCACATCGAGCAGCTGAGGGCTCTTCCTCACTGGCTACATTATGCAGCTTGGACCAGAAGAAGAATTCTTTGCTTCCACGCTGCTTCTGCAGCTCCTCGAGCTCCTGGCCAAACACCTGGCGGTGGCTTTTTAACCTCCATCGCAGCCACTCCATCAGCACAAAACCATAGGCCTGCCGCATCAGCTCATCGTCCGCAGTACCATGTCGCAGACGCCAGGCGCGCTGGTAGCCCTCGAGGTCCACAGAGGCCTCATAAAAACACAAGATTTCTGCAATATGCGCTGTGCACATGCCACGCCTTCAATGACAAATGAATAGGCGATAATTCGGGCACTAACGACATCCTATTATGCAGTGTGGAAATGGAATCCTTGCTGACTGTCAGAACGGAGTCTTTAGGACCCTCCTGCGCAATCTCCTGCTTGCGATCTAAATCCAAGCAAAGCCGCAGCCATCGCCGGCTAAGATTTAGCGAGGTCTTCGCATCTCCATGGAGGCCAGGTGTCTTCGCACGCTAAGCTCAACAGCTCGCAATCTCTTGGTTTTGCAGGCTCGTCTTCTAATTAAGTGCTGGCTTGGTTTCCAGAGGCTGTGGGTTGAGGAGCTTGAGCACACTCTGGGGCACTAGATGTGCAACAACCATCGCTCAGTCGTCGCCCACATGGGCACACACCTATTTATGTTGACAGCGCGTGCTCGCCTGTTGTGTGTTCTGCACCTGCTCCGTCATGAATATCTGGCCTACATCATGGATGTGTTCAGGCTGTGCTGGGGGAAGTGGCTCAGAAGCGGTGACACATGGGGCATCAGCCATCTAAACGAGCTGCTGAGCCAGGATCGTTTGCAATCTCCACTCTGCCAGGGTCGAAACATTTTTGGACTCAAATCTCGAAGCCCAACTCCCAGTGCGGAGCCCACTGAACCAGTTTCCAACATCCCAAACATGATGCATTCAATCAATGCCAATGCCCGCAGGTTGGCCTTCTTGGGCTGCGGCAGCGGCTTCGGCCGCAGCAGCTTCAGCAGCGAGCCTTGCCTTTACGCTTTACGCGCGATGACGCTACTGAACTCATCACTCCTCATTACCCTGACCCCCTTCAGTGGATTGATGGTACTTTAAGAGGGAGGTGGAGCTTCGGCACCCAAACACTGCTAAACAGCTACGTAGAGAGTGCTCACTCGACAAGTCAACAAGTCACCTAGCTTTCTTGCCGGCAAACCTCGTTTGACCAAAGAACAATGAAACCTGACAAACATCAAATGCAGATGCAACAAATCAATGTGTTCATTCTTCATGCCCTTTTTGGGATCAACCCAAGTTCGTGCCCGTGCCTCTTCCTCCTGGCGGAGTCTTTCTGCCTGTCCAAACATTCTTGCTGCCGGTCTTGGTACCCTTGTTCTTGGCCCTGCTGCTGTGCTTGCAAAGACCGCTACTTGTAGGTTAACTGCTATCCAGCTTTAGATTCCCTCAGGCCGCAATCGGCTTGGAATTTGGATCGCAAAAGGAGGCGAACCTAAATCTCAAGTCGCAGTCTACAGCCTCAGCCAAGCTGCTTGGCGACCAGGACTAGTAAGCAGAATCCCAACCCAGCAGAGCTGGATGGTGGCTCGCGGGCTTGCATGGGTTGCAGTTTGATTCTCCTGCTGGGCTAAGATTATGAAGCCCTCATCTTGATGAAGTTTGCGGTCATGGTAGTGGGGAAATGATAACAGCAAAAATGGCGCCGTAGAGCGTGCTAAAACAATCCAGGCGCAGGACTTGTTGAGCCCCTGCAATGCTTGAGAGCATCCCTCTGCAGTTAGGACAGGAAGGCAGTTCCTCTCTGTGAAAAGCCAGGATTGCAACTGAAGGCTTCCCGGTCGTGTAGCCTCTTCCTCCAGGCGCTTTTCATGAAGCGCCTTTGCCTCCTCCTTCTCCTCTGGCGTGACCTCCGACGACCAAACGGCTTTAGCTGCATCATGCGCAGCTTGCTTCAGCTCTAAAAGGGGGACTTTTCTTGAGGCATCTGGCCTCCTCACCGTTCAAGGTCTGCAGCTGACCCTGGAAGATCAGGATCTCGAGGCGGATATTTACACCATCCTGGCTGCTGCGCACTGGACTGTCAGTCAGCTGCATGAAGCCAAACATTCTTTGCAGCACTGGCACTGCAGGCACTGCAGGCACTTCTTATCCACTGCAGTCATTGCTTTGCAGCACTTCAACACGCAGTTGCGATGCTCTCTCAAACCAGAAATTGAGGCAGCAGGGGTGGCCTGTTCCTCCACCGGACAGCCCGCAGCACTGAGGCTCCTGTGTTTGGATGCCGAGCTAATCATTTGAGCTTTGTTTGGAACCCTGTCAGCTTGGGTCTTTGACGAAGCCCTGGAACCTGTGACCAGACTGGAGACCTCCTCTTGCTTGAGGCCGATATCTGAAACTTCGTAGTAAAGTTTGCAATGGTTCCTAATTTCAACCTCTGAAAGCAAGTGCAACTCCAACTTTCCGTTGTGTCATGTCCTGAGTGCAGCCATCACCTCCAGGGGTTTGAACGCCTTTACCTGACCATCCATTTCAGGCTTCCGCTTCGCGGGGCTATGGCCTTTGCATGACTTCTGCTTCTCAAGTTGTAGTCAATGCTACAGGCTTGGACATGTCTCAAAAGTTAGAATGGGCGTGGGAACTTCGTTTGAGGCCTGTCTGCTAGGAACACTTTGGGACGGATTCAAAGCTCCCGCCACCTCTGCAAGAGCATTGCCGGCCACATCGAGCGCCTTCAGGGCTGCCTGGCATAAAGAGACTTCTATTAAAGAAGCTGATGCCTGCTTCTACTACTGTCGAAGATTCTGCTGATGGCCGCAATGATCTGAACGGTGAAGAAATGCTGCCAGCAGCTCTCTACCTGACCTCACTTCGTCCCGTGGCCAGCACATGCCGGAAGTGCCATCTCGTGCCAGGGGGCGATCAGCGTTTCAAACTTGTTCTTGGAGATATCTAATGTGGACAGGGACGGAAGCCTGGCAGCCAGCAAACACTGATGAAATTTCTTTTACCCAACAACCCAGAACTACGTACTCTGCTCTCAGCTGTTATTCGATGCAGCTGCCACTGAATGCACGGTAGACCTGTAGACGTCGTTGAGGTCGGCGAGCGCGTTTTCGCTCAACTTGGGCAGGACACAACTTAGGCTGGTCATCTCGGTCCATGCAATTTCCCGACTAGCGGATGTGGGCATCAGGGCCATCTGCGCATCGAGCGATCAGAAACTTCGCAAGTCAGCTGGCATCTATGTCCGTGCCTCCAGCACCTCAAGCTTTGGGCTTTTGTTCAATCCAGCCGCCTCGGAGAAGCTTTGGCAGCACACATGCTTCAAAGACTCCAGCAGCTGGGAGCCGGACAGCAGCTAGCTGGTTAGATGAAAGCCGCAGCGTCTGCAGTGTCTCGTGCCCTTGAAAGTTAGAACACCTGAGAGGCAGGCTTGCAACCACAGTAGCTTGCTGATCCTCTGCCGTGAGCCCAACTCTGGCCGGGCCTTCACACTTAGTACTACCATACTTTAATGAAAACAGCAATGACAGTTATGACAATAACTACTATACTACACCGTGATGATAACAGTAATGGCCGTTCTGACAATAAGTTTTGCTCTTGTTGTTCAGTCTTGTGATTACTCAATAGCATTCTTTGGCCTCAGTAGAACTGCCACCTGCTCAATATGAGAGCGTGCTAGGTAATTGAGGTATGCGATCAGGGCCTAGGCACCCTGACTAGAATCACCTTCGGCCGCAAGACGCAACGCTACCGGGCAGCCAGGTCCCCCGAACAAAGCCTAGGAAGGCCTTCCAACTGCATTCTCTCATTTCTGGCTGCACCAACAGGTTTAGCGACACAGGCCCCGCTTACAAATGGGTTCCTGGCGTTGAAATTTGGTTGAAGCGGAAGTCCGCCCGCCTGACGGTGTTGGTGAGAGTGCCTGCCCTCTTCATGGAGCAGCTGAGCTTCTCATCAAGATTTCATGCCTCAATGCTGGCATGTGAAGCCTTAGCCAGAGCACGAAGTGAGGCACGACCCTAACATAACCCCAATAGAACCCTAATAGAACCCTAACATAACAGCCCGTCCTGGTAAGGTCCCAGAAGGCCAAAAAACGACTAGTCTTGTTATTCTTATTGCTATTGTTGTTCTTGATTGCTATAACCAGTGTTGTTATTGTTATTACTACTTTTATTGTTCCCAGAGGAGAAACCCCATAGCGAGGCCAGCACTGCGGTAGTTCTTTGAGCTGATTGCTGCTCACATCCAGAAACAGCAGGTGCGGAAGCTCCTGTGTGAACCACTATTCCTACTATTACTATTTTTTATTCTCTTACTACTATTACTACTACTATATTATTTGTACTATTCTTCTTACTAGTATTCTCAACATTTGTATTCTTATCACTATTACTATTTTCGCTATTGTTGTGCCGCAATCCAGTTTGCACAATTCCGGAGCCATGCACGGCATCACAGGAACTGCCTGCTCTGTCCAATCCAACTTGGAGATGGCATTTGATCTGGCACGTTACAAGACAGATGCAAGACACCCTAGCATTTCTCTTTTCCTCTGCTCTCCTGCACAATTGGACAGTTGCGAGCCTGGTGCCCCAGTCCTACCTTAACACCATGCTGGCTGCACGACAAGTTGAGTGAGAGCACGTGCTGCAGCTTGCCAATGGGGGCCACATCCTTGCCATGTTGCAGACAAACTTCAGAAGACACATTCACCTAGTCATGCAAGCAGAGGCCTGCGCACCTATGCCATGCTAACTGGTGCATAGGCAAAGGTCCTTGACGCAGTTCTGCGAAAGGTCCAGGTGTCGAAGGAAGGGATACCTTCGTGTAAACATGTCGACGGCCCTCACTGACGTGACAGTTGTGGATTCACATACAAACGGTGTTCTTATTTAGCAGTGCAAAGCTGTATCAGTGCCAGGCTCGGCAAGCAGGCCCAAACCGCCGATCTGCTTGCCAATGCCTCAGCTCTTGGGTAAGAAGCGGCGTGCGAGCATTCCATGGTCATGTTGTAACGGCTCCTCCAGGTACTTCAAGCTGCCTGCTAGAAGTATCAATACATGAGGCGTCAATCTAAGGCCCTAGCAGTCCAAACGCGAATAAACGAAGCCTCCAGATCATGGCATGTAAACATCAGCTCCGTACCGTCATCACTCCCATGCAGCTAGAGACACCTGCCGCAGCACAACCCCGGTGGCCTCCCCCGGCCACCGTCTTGCTGACCTCGGAGAGCTTCATCGCCTGTTTGGGGCGTGCAGGGCCTGCAGGCACCCTGCTGTCGGGGCCTATATAGGGCCTACTACTGCCGCCACGTCCAAGCCGCTAGCATCACGAGCATCAGTTTGTTGGGGCTTACGGAATGTTTAGGAATCGCTTCCAAGATCAATTGAATCTGTCTGATCATCTCGCATCACATTGATCTTTCGCTCTGTCTCTACCACATCTCTCCTCAGCCCTGGCTTCTCAGCTGCTTCACCCAGACAAGGAGAGGTAATATGCTGCAGATTCTCCGGAATAACTCTGGAACGATCGCGATCCGGCGAAACCCTGAAATGTACTTCAAAGGCAATAAGATCCCCCAGCAAGTTGAATTGAAGCTTGCCTCTTGGGACAACTCAACACCATCATCGCCCGCCATGATGCAAGCGCAGCTTGGGAAAGGTTGCCAAGGCAATGGCAGTTGGAAGCCTGAAGGGCTCAGCTACATGTGTGGCCTGCAATTCAGCTCCCCTCCATACGCCATCAGATGTTGACACTGGCTTCACATTGATCTTCCTGCAGAACTTGTATGAGCTACCTGTGAGAGGGAAGTGGCAGCGGCAGAAACAGGATCGACTCAGCCTTATCAATCTAGAGTGTGAACGTGAGCTACGTTCAGATAAGGACTTGCTACTTCCACAAACTTGCATTTGGTGAAGCGGGCAGAGGACGAAACCTCTCAGACGACGCTGCAGCCGAGGAGGGCTCTTGCAGGGGAGGATCCCACTTTGTGGGCTCTCGTTGCGAAAGGTGCCTCCTCGGTGCTTTAAACTCCGTCAAAGTCGCGCTGTGCTTGGACGGTTTGAGAAAACGTCAGGCACCCCCAAACTTGAGGTCTCCGAGCTTTGCGTCTGGTGGATTTGCGATGTGTGGATTTGGGATGTGAGATGCGCTATTCGCCTCAGCAGCTTCAAGGCTTGGATGTTCCACAGGGGCGTGTCCAGAAGAGCGATGTTCCTTAGACAAAGCCGGAGCAGACAATACAGACCCAAGCACATCTTGAGCACAAATGTTGTCTTGTTCATGACTGCCGCAGCTAATTACGCTTTAAGAGCAAAGGCTGTGCAGGGAAACCGGTTCGTTCGCTTGCTTCTGAAAGGAAGGGCTGGGCCAACCGTTGGCAAGGTGCAGCAAACCTTCAACGAACTCCGCCTGCGTCAGGTAGTTGTTTTCATCCACATCCAAGATGTCGAAGAGGTCAAACACGTCATCCTGAACATGTCTTCTTACAATCGTGCACCATCAAAAACGGCAACAGCCAACACCTCCGCCGCAAACGCAACCACCACTGCCGCTGCTATGCCGCCACAACCATCATAAACTGAAAAACATCATCGACAACAACAGCAGTAGCAGCCGCCGCTGCCACGACCAACACCCAGGGCGGCACATCCAAGCCGGGGCCTGAAATCCAGCGTTTACACAGGCGGTGTCCCCAGTTTACCAGTTCTTTGCGACTTGCAAGATCCTTGACTATGACATGGCCGGTGCTCAGATGAACGGCTTGAGCGGCTCTGTTCTGATTGCGGCAGAGGACGAGAAGCAGGCGGACGCGCTGTTGCAGATGCTCTGGAGCGCAGGGGCCGACTATTTGGCTTGCGTTCTGTGGAGATCTTCTGAGGGGACCCTCGTGGCAGAAGCTGATGCAGGTTGAGGCCGTCAGCTGTCGGGACTACACAAAGATCGATGGTCCTTCGCGGGCATTGCAACATGAGCCAAGACTCCGAAAACGGTGCCGACTGTTCTGGCTACAAGTAGTTCCAAGGTCAGGGCGATCTTTGCCAGGGCTTTCTCATGAAGGCTTCCTCTACACCAAAGTGGCAATTGAGACTTTGGCTGAAGAGATGCCGGCGCAGATGCTTGCAAGAGCCCAGGACATGAGCCCCAAGTCCGGCGCACTCCTTGGTGTTCCTTGGGGGCGCGGGCCAAGGACGGCAAGAAGCGAGGTGATGGCAGGCACTCTCCACCCAAGGGAAGGTCATGACAAGCCTGAGGCCAAAACAGGATCGGAGGACCAGGCTGGGGTTCGATCAAGAAAGCAGCAGTTACCGGGAAGCAGCATGCAGTCCCGGAGGGCGAGGCGGTGAACAAAGTGACTGGCGACGGAAACTGTTTCCTTAGCAGCTCGACGACATTGATGACTAGGTGAAGCACACGGTGGAGAATGGCAAGCAAGCGTACGTCGCGGCGAAGACCTACAAAGTTGCCATTTGCATTCACCCATCCCCTGTGGGCCTGTCGCCGGCGGCCTACAACTCCAGTGCCAAGGAGAAGCTGGCGGTGTGGCCTGTTTTGATTGTTTGCACCCACTATTGCCCACTCCATGGAAACCACCTCCCACAGCCCATCACCAACATGGCGAGTGGTTACGGAAGGGGGGATGCCTCCTGCAAAATGCGCTGAGTAGTTCCAGCAAGCTTCCTGCTCAGATCAGACGACTGCCCAGGGCGAGCGAACAGCTGTCATCATCCTGCTGGAGAGGCGAGGCCGCCGTATGGGCGTGGGGTGCGATCCAGAGCCAGATGGATGCCACTCGCTTTGCGGTCTTGATGCAACGCACCAGCCAGCTTCGGAGCAGTGCTTGGAGGCCACAGGTCGGGAAATGCATGGACTTTGTGGCACTTTCAGCTTAGTCATGCCTCTTGTCTGAGGGCGGGGGTCAACATCTTTGATGGGCACTTCCGCAGCATCTCCAAGCAACAAGCCCAGATTACCCCCAAGCAAGAAACTCAGACTGTCAAAGGATCATCATCCTACGACAGGGCGAGGCGCGATAGGCAGCTTATCCAGCAACGATGGCGGCAGCAGCTGCAAAGCATTGTTTTGCAGCTCCTCTCGCGTGATACCTCTGGGGGTTGGAGACATAATGCGGCTAACTCCCAAGGTAGGCTGTGCAAAAGAAACAGTGCTGGTACTGGTACTGCTGGAAAATCTAGTTCGCTTGGTCTTGTTCTTGCAGAGGTTCTGTTCCATCTAAGTGCAATTCAATGACAGTTCTGAGTAGGCCAGTGCTCCTGGCCCCTCGCGGTAATTGCAAGACACGTCATGGCAAGTCAAGATGCGGCCGCTGCGGTCTATATCCAAAGTGATGAAGGTGTCCAGGAGCATTGGCAGAGACTCCCGAATCTTCCTTGGCCACAGCTTTGGACTCAGCTCAAGGTTGGGTGTCAGGGTTGAGCCTTATTCTTCAGGACTAGGATGCTTCAATTGAGGCATCAAGTTAAATCCAAGTTGAGAGTTCAGGTTGGCTGAAGCGACTTACAAGATTTTTCATGGTTAGCAAAACAAGGGAATATGCAAGTTCATGGCATTCGCGTAATTGACCCTAACACGAAGAAGCCTGACTTGTGGAGGTGTGACCAGAAGGTGCCTCATGACCTCCTCTGTCCTCTCCTTTGACATCTTTACCAGCCCAAGATGAATCTGAATCTTAAGCAGGTTCCTAACATCAGGGATCAGAGCAATTTGAAAAGCTCCGAAGCACATGCACTCTGGCCCAGCGTCTCCTTCACCTCCATCCTCTCCTCTTCTCGCTTTTCTGCAGAGGATTCCATGGCTCCTGCTTGCAAGTTGAACCCCAGGAGACAAACGAAAATAATCTGCATGCGCGCTGTCAGACATACAAAAGCTTATGTTAGGCTTGTGCAAGCCTAAACCAACGGCCTTCAATGATGACGGCCGTAATGAGATTCATCAGCCCGATTGACACAAAGATCAGGATGGACGCGAAATAGACCTGCCCAGGACCAGTCTGGAAGTTGCAGTTCCATGTGCTTCGTCAAACTACAAGCAGAGACAGCCGAGGCACTGCCAAGTAAGGCTTCTTCATGATCAAAGGCGAGTACACGGCTGCAATAGAATCCAAGGTCACAAACTGCATCAACGTCAGGCTTGCTCTGGGCAGACTGTTGAAGTAAACTCGCACAATCCTTAGCAGGGCACTTGATGCTGCGAGGGAGTTCTGTGCAGCAGTTGCTGATCACTAGAAGCCAGGAGTTTGCACCTCGTACAATATGCCTAAATTTCTGAGTGCCAGGACCGCGAGCTGTTGGCTGTGCGGAGACTTCAGAATACTCGAACATTCTCGTGACAAGGCTGCATCCTGCCAGGAGTCTCACTTGTCTCGGGATCGGCCAAGATGTTCTCATCCTGCACAGACTTACGAGACAAGACTTGGTTATCTCCCGCAAGGAGCCGCAGCACCTCCCGTAAAAGGCCTTGGTGATGATTTCCACTGCAACACAGGCAAAGATGTAGAGGGTGAAGGATATCAAGGCTGTTGCGGACATCACTGTTCGCCCAGCCGACAGCAGCGCATATACCAAGTGCCATACCTAGAACATTCCAAGACAAATCGTTGCAAAGACTGGTGAAAAGGCAGTTCGGACCCTTCCTGATTTCATAAGCAAACGGGCACAGTGACAGCGGTTGTTGATGGGTCTAGGTGCCACTTTGAAGTGCTCGAACATGCGCAGGGCCTTGGAAATTGCAGCGCCCACACACTAGGCAAGGCCACACAATTCACAACTCAGCCGAGCCAGCCGCACGAACCAGTCGGAGGAGACGGAGACCACGAACTATAAGAATCTTCCTTAGCTGTGCGTCTCTGCAACTGCTCATTCAGTTGACCTGTCCTAGATTGTGAACACTGCTTTCTCCTAAACCCAGGCAACTGTGGATCGCAACCTCACTGCAGGGAACTGCTGCACTGTTTATTGGTGGCCAAGCGGCTCGAATCCATCCTAACCAATGCAACAACGCACGCATGCACCCATACCACTGCAAACTTGTACAAGCATGATGTCATGCGTGCAAAGCTGTACGTTTTTAGGCATATCATTTGCGTGAGGCTGCCATGTTGCGAGCTTGTAGCCATCCATATGTGCTGCCAGAGATTCCACGCTCAGTGGAGAATTTGGTCCAAGCAGTTTCAGCAAAACTGCCAGCACACCCACTGTCACCAGAAAGAAGTCCAGAAGAAACCAAACATTGCAGAAAACTGCACAGCCTCAGCATCTGCAGGACGACTCAACCACAACAAACCTATGATGTAAGAAATCAAGCCTTGGTGAGTAAGCCCTAGAGCGTTTAGGGGTGCTGCTTGGGCGGGCTTCACCAATGTCGGTCGTTTATGGCCACTGCTTCAGAACCCGGCTCGCTGGGCTGTCACATCCCTGCGTATCCCAAGCAGAGAAAATCAGCGGAAGCCAAAGCAGTATTGCTGTGCTGTGTCCATGCAGCAGTGGAATTTTGCAAAGTTTATATCAGCCTTGTTGCTACAGTCTCGTGAGGCTTCACAAAGCACAACGTTACTTGGCTGAAGACAGCCACCCCAACTTTAATAGATGCCAAGACCAGGAAGCCTCCTGCCAGGAACCGCACCAGGAGCTCCAGCGAGTAGATCGCGAGGAAAATTCCTGGGAGCACACAATGCAACAGGAAAACGTAAGAAAAAAACGTCAGACGTGTACGCAGGTACACGTACGAGCGGAAACACCCGCATGGATACGCATGCGTATTGTAATTAAACGACTACTGCTTCCATAGTGTGTATGGATAACTCATACAAAGTGAGATCAGACAAGGCAGGCCACAACCCATTGAGCATTGAATTGGGGACAAGTTCTCGTCGCTGTTCCTCACACCTCTTTTGAGAGTCCGTATGATGTAAATTTCAAACTCTTCTGAGTACAATCCGGTCTGATATGCCGATTTTTCACATGTCAAGGCAAGACTCTCTCCATGGTGTCCAAGATGATAAGAGATGCTGCATCTTGAGACAGCGATAGCTGGGCCTTCCAGCATGCGGACACATGGAAAGACCCTGACTTTCTTCCCCAAACATGCTCGAGACTCATCCGCTAGAAACTGGGATCACTTCGCGGGAGCACGGGAGCCTCGAGTCCGATCGTCAACAGGTTGATAAAGATGATTGCGCCCGTCCCCTTGGAGCGCAAAGGAGATTCATGTAATTCACAACGAGTCCTCCTAATGCTTCGGACATAGGATAGACGCCATGGTCTTCATGGCTGGCATCGTCGTCGCCGCTGCCGCAGGAAAACAGCAGCACAGCAGCGGCGGCGGCAGCAGCAGCAAAAGCAGCAACAACAGAAACATAGACCTAGACACAGCAGCAAAGCAGTGGTGGCGGCGGCCACCGCCACCTCCACCACCGCCATCGCCACTGCCACAACTGCCGCCACCACCACCGATGCCACCCAGTGACACATCACGTTTGGAGACGAGGAAGGTAGGAAGGAGGTGAGTGGCGCGGAAATTACGGCGGCGGCGATTGGGACGTTGGCGGAAGAGACGATGTTGGTGGTTGATATGGCTACAGGCAGCAGAAGGAGCAGCAAAACTGCCGCAAAGGTTGTGGAATGATCAAGCAACCAAACAATGTGGCGTTTAAGCAGGCCAGTGTCCATCTCAAACCACCTGTTTGCCACGATCTGCTCTGACAGACGACACGGCCAGGCTGATCCGTGCTCCTCTTGATCATGAGCATGCTCCTCCGCCGCCTCAAAACAGCGCACTGCAGGCAATTGCCAAGGCAGCTCATCTGACAAAGCCCCCGTGCCTGTATCGCATCCTCAAAGACTTCGTTGATCACCTGGATCAACTGCCAGCTGGATTAAACAACAAGCGGTTCAAAACAAAGTCGACATACAAGGCTCGAGATGGACACTGCTCATAGATACCCTACACATGTCCAGTGCTGAGATTCTTTGTGCAGAGCAAGGCCTTTCGCAGGGGCCCAGGAGATGCCCTGAAGTTCTGCACGGTGGAGATGCGAATCTTGCGAACAGAGATCTCGGGCTGCACTGGCACCGGACCACCATCAACTTGGTAGCGTGATATGAAGAGCATTTCAACAACTGCCTCTTGCGGCACGGTTGAAAGGACATGAAATCGCTGTAGCAGGGCACATTTGCTGACATGCTGCTCGTTTCCGCGTTGTTGTCGTTGAATTCGACCTCCTGGAAAACCCTTGATTCGTGTGAGGCAGTATCCACTCGATCAATGTCCTCGAGGAAAATGTCGCACCTGCGATGACATGTCTGCTGACACTCGCTGGGAAAGCGTCTACTGCTACATTGGCTTCAGGTTGGTCTCTGAATCAGGGGCCAGCGGGACACTTCCCAAGGCAGTCGTGATCTGAGCGTGGAGTCTTCAGGTTTATGAGTTGCTGACATGGCCAGACCCAAGGCACAGATCTCCATCTGCAGGCTCCGGTTTCGTGGGTCTGGGCTGCCCACTTGGCTTCGGCGGCAACTTTGGCAGCTTTGGCTCCAGGGCACCAAGATTATCCAGCCGCGTCAGCAAGGAAGCAACATCATCTCTCCTGAGAAGATAAAGTACACCAAGGTGCTTTGGCACCTATGGTGCCGCAGAAACCCTTTGCCGTCAAGCTGCCAGAATCGATGCTCCTCTTTCAGAGCTTCGATGCTTTGCAGAGAGTGCTGATGCTGCTGAATCAGCTCATCTAGGGCCGGCTTCAGCCAGCCCTCCATGGCGACAAAGGAGCCGAGGATAGCCGAGGTATTTGAGGCGATCTTTGCAAACAGTTTGCAAGTTGGGCGGCGCTGGCCGCACAGCTCCTGTGTGATCTATCTTTGGAAGCTCTAACAAGATTCTCTATTTGTGCCGGGAGTGTTGCGTTCAATATAGCTTGTGGGAAGACTGAGAGGCGTCTAATCCACTGGGGCAGCTCAGGTGCTGCGGACGATACCAACGCGCGTGCAGCAATTGCAAGCGTCTTGTTGACTACGTAGCCAGTTGCGCGTAGACATCCAACACAAGTATGTTATGGCAGATCATAATGAATGACTCTAAATGCTGTTAAGCAGTGGTGCAGCTGCGAGTAGCAGCACAGACTCAGACCCATGATCATCATCGACAGTTGTCTTTGTCAAGATACATTCATTGATCATCACGCTGATGATGCCATCTTTGGGCAAGACAACTAAGCTCATGCCATTTTAAATGACTCAGGTTCACAAGCCAGGGCTGCTTCTCAGGATGCAGCCAGCTGTGACTGGTACCGTCGCAAACCAGCAAACTCGGTGAGAGGCGGCTTCCCGCAGGCTCCGCCTGTGAGGCATGCCTCTCCCTGATTGATTGCATAGAGCTCAAACTTTGCAACACCAGCTCGCTGGAATGCAGCTGCTATGCGCTCTGAAGGAATGCTTGCTGGCAAGCAGCCATCTTTGGATACGAGCAGTGAGCCCGTGTAGCTCTGGCCAACCCTCGCGGCAGCACCCGCGTAGTGTAACACTGCCCAGCTGAGGCCATCATCCGCGTCCACAATCCGCCAGTACTCTTGCAGGGAGATTCCGTTGTCCTCGGTGCTCAAATTGAAGCTGCCAGGCAAGTCACCCGGTAGGACTCGGTAGTGACGCTTGCGCCAGACCTCGCGTCCATCAAGCGTAACAACCTTGAAGACAGGATCGTACCAGCCTCGATTCCCGCGCGGATCTCTGTACCAACTGTTAAACTGGCAGGGAAAATAGTCGTAGGCCGGATTCTGTCCCAGCACTGGCCTCCAGGAGCAGCTTGCAGGATCATCCGACCAATGGCCCTCCATGATCTCCCAGGCCAATTCCAGACTCAGCTGCTTCCCGCGGAAATCGCTCAGCGGATCAAATTGTATGTCGGGAATGCGAGCCTCGCAGTCGAAAACGCCGCGCCGCTCGAAACAACGCACCAGGCTGGCAAGGGGTGCGGACTCGTGGCTCACTGTGCAACGGTACATTTGAGTCTGGTCACGGACATCGCAGCCACTTTGACAAGATAAGCAGGCCCGAGCTTCTGAATCCAGACCTGCTGAAATTGCCTGTGATAGGCACTCTGTGCAAAGCGTAAACACCTTATCCAGGGTGTCTATTTGGGGCTCCTGCGCCACAAACTCCACCGGCATGACCGCAAAGTGCACAGCAAAAAGAAGCGCGTAGAGGCAGTCCTGGCTTTACAGCTACGTCGCCTACTCAACAGCAAAGCTGCTTAAGCTTGGACTATCACCTGTTTGGTGATCAACTGTTGTTGCCCACATGAGCTGCAACGAGTATACTGCCGCCTGCTCAATTCTTACCCGCATTCATTTGGCTTCAAGCACTGTCAGCTCATATGCTCATGTGGCACAGGACGACAACTGGCTTTAAGCCCTGCAGAGTACACACGCTTGACATAACTGACCCCGTCACCGCCTCCGAGGTCTGCCTGGACCAAAGCTCGATGCATCGCTCCAACACTTCGTTGGCGCTACGACCAGTGCTCTGCCGTGGAACAAGGCGCGCGAGTGAGCTGACTCCATCGGGCGATGACAGAACCAAGAGATTTTCAAAGGACGAGAGCAGCTCGCAGGTGGTCCTGCAAAACCAATTGACACGCTCAGAACAAGCTTCTACTAAATCTTGAAGAAGCTAAGATGAGAGTTCAGAGAAGCGTCCTTGGGACATTGATGCAGGCGCACAAGCTTGCTTTGCCCAAGTCATCTGGCACCATCTCGGGCTCCAAGACAAGGCGGACCTCGAGACCCGGGACGGCGCCGCGGAGCTTTGCAGAAAGGTGGTTCACGGCCTCGGTCCACTTGGCCGGGGAATGGAACCCCAGGCCATCGGCCATGATCTCTGTGCCAGGCTCACCCCAAGGGCAAAACCCCTCACCCAGCACCAGAAGAACTTCAGAAGCCTCTGCATGCGCTTCTGCTTTGCCAACAGCTCGGCGACAACCACGCTTCCTGGCAGCTCTTGCAAGCCTTCGCAGGCACAAGCCCACACCCACGATGGGGAAAGACCTGAAGGACTTCTTAGAATCCCAGGCCCAGGCAGTGCTCCCAGTGCTCCGAGCGCTCCGAAGCCATGGGTGTGGCTTTGGAGCCGCCAATACCACTTTCAACCCTGTCAAGGGCTCAAGCTCACGTGGGACGGCGCCGAGGGCGGCCATCTTTACAGCTGATTCAAATGATTTGTCTATTTTGGTGAACCATCCGAAAGCGAGGGACGAGTCGGAGTGTCCGCACCGCCCCTAAATCCCAAATCCTTTGCCAACGATATTCCGAATGGAGAATGATAGTCTGCTGCCTGCCCATAAAGATATCGTTCAATTATAAAGCCCCAGTGGCCAAAGATGTTCAGAGTGAATGATGACAGCCGATAGCTCATGGGATCTAGTGCTACTGGCATGGATTTGACGTTGTTGCAATATCGCATTGCTCGGGCAATGAAGGCAAGAAATCCTGAGCATGGAAGGCTGCAGCTGCCATGCGTCCTCCTTTCAATGATCCATGGTGCTCACAGCAATTAATCCAAGTTTAATGTGTCAAATGCACCATGTCTAAATTCAGTGCCCTGACCCAGCCCTTTGCCCTACCCTCACCTCCAAGCCCCATCCCAGGATCTAAGCCCAGAAGGGGAATCAGCTCATATCATCCACATTAGTAGCGTAGAAGCTGGGGGCGAAACTGGCAGCGTTTTTTTGAGGCTTACACCTTGGGGAAGCCTGCTTAACAGGGCACAGGTGTGTGGGCTTCAGCCCAATCACCAGGCGGCACGTTAACACAGCTGCGCCTGAGAGATATCCTGCATGCCTGGCTAGTTGAGAAACTTGGGTGTGGCAATGTTGTATGAGCTATAGTCTAAACTCGTAGTATCTCCCTTAATCAGCCCTCCCCTATATGACCCATTTTAAGGAGTTTAGACTAAAGCTCGTATGGCCCTCAGTCTTACGAAGTCAGCAAGACTGGAGGCAACCAGATCCGCAGGACCTCTCCCAGTTTAGACTTTGCGCAGCTTCAGACTGCTACTGACTTCTGGGACCATTTGGGCTGATTTCGTGCAGACTTTTGAGACCATTACAAGGATTACTGTCATGCTGACCACGATTCCCCTGTATTATGTTGTCTACTATGTCTACTGAACCTTGGTTAGATACTTAGCCGTCTTCATGGGGAGCTGCCAGCTCAGTGAACCTCGAAGTCGAAGGTGGGAGGGGCATCCAGGCCTGACCTTTGCAGGAGCGGCGGATGTCAGAACTAAGACCGTCTGCTGGAACTACAATTGCTAGCAAGGCAAGTCTTGCAAAGCATAAGGATAAGAGCTGTTGCTGCACAAGAAGGGCCTACTTCCGTCAGCAATCTCTATCACAATTCGACTGTGACGAGGACACCGGCACACTACGCGAATGCATGTGCGATTCGACACGGGCATGCATCCCCATCAACGCAAGTGCTTTGAAGAGCTGAAGATACAATCGCTACCAACATGTACCATGAAAAATCAATCCGTCGCCGCCGTCCCGTCCCACAATAATGTCAAGAGGGAGGCGAACGAGGCTGAGCTTGCCGAAAGGTACCGTCTCGACAGAACACCACTAAACTGCAACATCATACCTTCCTAAGCATTAAAACCAAATCCCTTGTGAGAAGCTCCCTAGTCTTCCAGACCTAAACCCAAAGCAAAGCCAGGAAACCTTGAAGTCCATCCACAAAACTCACAAGCTTCCAAACAGAGACATTCTGAGGCGATGGCTGCTCCCGGATCTTTTCCAGGAGCTCCTGATCTTTATTCCGCCGGCTCGTTACCGTAATGCAGTTTCGGGGGCTTCAGGGATAATGGAAAAGAAAATGGAAAATTCAGGGATCATAGGGGTTATGTTGGGGTTATATAGGGGTTATAATCATAGGGATAATGGAAAAGAAAATGGAAGCTACTATATTAGGGTTGGGGCTTGGCGTTCAACATCTATGCGCAATTTGCGAATCTCTCAAGCTGACATGGATTATTGCCATGAGCCCGCGCAAGACAAACCTAACAGCCAAGGGTGATCGCGCAGATGATAGAAAACTTTTTTCATGATAGCAGCATCGCTGGAGCAAGGTCTCCTGGTATCCCGAAATAAAGATGGCAAGGTTCGAGGGACAAAACATCTTTGCATCATCCTGGACCCATTCGTCATCCCTTCTTGGTGTCCAGCAGGATCCAGCATGAATACCCCACTAAAACAAGGAATGGGTCTCTGTAGTCATCCCTATGACTAATAACCCAACAGCTCCCCTGCCAACAGTAGGGCAAGTCTTTGTCCGCGTCTCCTCCAAGTTCTTGGCCACAGACTTCGCCACAGAACACTGCCTGTGGATCTCATCCAGGCCTGCCCAGGCTGCCATGATGAACCGTCACTGCACAGTACAGGAAAATGTCCATGATGTCCTTTCTACTGATTATCTCCTGTCAAACTTATGAACAGAGCTCATGCCAGGAGCCCGGCGGACTCGGGCTGCCTCCTCAAGGCCGCGCCTCAAAGCAAGTTCCAGTGAAGCATCAGGCTGCAAGCGATTAGATCTCTGCCATCTACGCGCCAGAGAAGAGACTGGATCAAAACGGGTTTCAGGTGGGCATGTTGAGCCAACACAAGACTCGGAGAGGGAGGTAGGGAGAGGGGAGAGAGAGAGAGAGAGTCATGTCCTGCGAAATATCCGTGATTTGTTGCGGCGTCTCGCCCACTCTGGTTCGTTTCTGCCAGGCGTTCGCAGACCTTTGATGCAGAAAGGTTGCCAAGCCTTTCACAAGCCGCAAATTTGCAACTTGCCGTCATATATCCAATGTCCTAGTACACCAGACCTTGTCATTTTCTAGAGCTATCGATGCCATGCGTTAGTTCACTCTTCTTTTCGCACAGTACGATGACGCAAGCGCTCTCTGCCAGAGGTTGAGTCGGAGATAACTGAGTCAAGGACATTTGAGTTTCGAGAAGATCGCCGACCCTCTCTGGCTCTGCTTCCTGCAGACAGATATGCACAGCTTTCGCTCTCAAAAGAACATGCAGTATGCTTGACGTGAAGCTCCGGCATCCTCCAGGGCTAATCGGTCGCCCTCACCTGCCCAAATGCAACCAGCAAAGAGGCCCGGGTAGGTCCGGGTATCAGCACAAGATGCGGGTGGTCTCAGCGGGCCTTGGACGGTGGTGTCCGCAGGGAGAGCCTTCAGCAAAAGCTTTTCCAGCTTTTCTGCCTGGCAGTTCAGACATGGGCCAGTGCTTCATCCACATCTCTGTGTCCCAAACTGCACCCTGGCACCTTCTTTTTCGCGATCAGAAGTCCTCTGGCCGTTGCCTCTGCAGATGCTACTGACTGCAGATGATGTGCTTGAAAAGATCTCTACAAACTTTATCAAGCAGAAATTCGACTGAGAACGCATGGCCAACGCCAACATCTCTTGCACATTGGGGACTTTGTCATGTCCTCTTTCCTCCTTTCTCGGGGACACTCCTGAATGTCAGAGGTGAACGTTTCCTTGCCTCACCCTTCACTTCAGTCATGCCTGCCAGCACATGGCTAACTACAAACAATGACCGGCAACGGGGATGCCGCGGGTTTCTCTCATGCCTGGTCAGCGTGAAATCTAATGAATCTAATGCATGGCCAGCCTCTGGTGAACTCAGAGACACTGAGCTCTCCTTCACCATCTGCATCAAGCACCTGTTTTGCTCAGCTGCAACTTTGTTCGGAAGCGCTTGCTCAGATCAGCTGCTGCGCCTTGAACAGCCGCTTGGCCTCGTCTTCATCAAACCCCAAGAGGAGGAACTTGTCCCTGCGAGTGGGGACGCGTAGTGCAGGTCGGGTAAGCTTTCCAACCATGCGCTTCAGCGATGCGAGTTACGCTTCGTCTTTCCTTTTTACCTTTCCAATCCCAAGAGGCCTGCATTCCGGGATCTGGAAGGCAGCATCGAACTCCTCGGTGGTGACCTGCAAGTTGCTACACTGTACATCGTTCAGAGCGGCCAACTGTCTGAGAGGCCAACTTGCCCACTTCCGTCAGCGTCAAGTCTCAAGAATAGGTTTTTCAGCTCCTTGGAATCTGCAAGCCGAGAAAGAAGCTGGAATCAGCACTCCCCATGTCCGGGTACAACAAATGAGCCCGCGACTTTCAGAGTCCTTTTTTCCTCTGCTCGCAACTCTTTGGCCATTTCGGCGGCATTCTCCTGATGAGCAGCACAGACCCTTGCTAAAGCACCCTGGCTTGCAACATACAAAGCTCTTTGAACCATCATTTCAGATCTCGAAAGCCATGATCGTACTAGGTCTACCTAGTCCTAAACCCTAAACCCCTGTATCATACCAGCGTCCATTTCATGTTCCATGTGCATTTCCATTTTACCCGCAAGTATTCCTGAATATTTCCCTATCTAAACCCTACAACTCCAAGCTACAAGTGCAATTCCAAGGGTTCAACTTTGATTGTAGGCAGAATGCGAGCCTGCGTCATGGACTGGGCCTTCTCACAAATGACAGCGGTGACCTTGCAATTTTGGGTTGGGGCTCCTCTCCCAAACGAGTTGCGCCATCTTTTCCAAGCAAAATGTTGTTTGCTGGGGTGCCAGCCAAGTTCAGTATGACATATGCTGAAATGGCCATGTAGAGGAACAGGAACACCCAAATGAATGGCTGCTTCACCATCAGCTCCTCCCGGTCTGTAGCACTTTCAGAGACTCACAGACTGCAGCGCTGCTGGCCGGTTGACACATGCGTGCAAGCACGCCTGAAATCTTAAATTTTGCGCTCCTCGGTGACATTGATGGCATTGTCGAAGAAAATGAAGCGAGTCATGCCCAAGCAGGCCTGCACCCTTGGAAAGTTGAGGTTTCCAAATGTGCAAAGCTCATCTCAAGCTTCCAGTCTTTAACGCACTTGTCGCATGACAATCGTGGACTGTACTCCTGTGTCCAGATCTGAAGTCTGAGGTGCTGGCAGCCCGCTCTGGAAGTTCCATGCAGCTGTTCCTGCCAGCAGCAACGCCATCCCCTTACACGGAACGCCATCCGCCCCAATGGTACACACTGCACACTCGGATTGAACTATCTGACCATGCTGTGGGCTGATGGTCTCAAATTGTCCCGAATATAAGGTGCTGAACTAGGCTCCACCCCAGATCGAGAATGACATTGACTAGGCCATGCGGTTAAGTAGTTTTTTCGAGAGATAAGTACGTACAGAATTACGAGGCAGGCAAAGTATGCTGCAGCAGTCAAGCTGCAAGATCAAAAATGCAGAATGTACATGTCCTTTGGGAGCTTGTCCCCAAGGCTCGAAGTTGCCGATTAGTTCTATCGCCAGGATGCCAAACCTTGGCTTGCTTACGCTGTACAGCAATGCAATTTCACTCTGCTTCTGATTCTGCTTATACATACTTTACTTGCCCTGCATGCAAGGCTATCACATGTGACTCATGTGACTATAACATGCTTGGCCGCCTCAGCTGAGGTCAACATGCTGCTCATGTAAGCCTGCTCTGCTTCAGCACTTGCTGAGTCGCGAACAGCAGGTCCACCATTGCTAGCAGAGCTACGCAGGCAGCCAGCGTGGTAGCTGTGCCCAGAATTCCAGCGAGCAGCATCTGCCAACGGAAACGTAAAAGCGCGTCATGGTTATGGTCTTAGCCACTTCTTCGGCTGCGAACAGAGTGCGCTCCGGCCTTAAAGCTCTCGAAAGTCTTCAAGAAGGTAAAGAAGCGAAGCGTCTGCAAAGGAGCACCATTACAACATGCCTTCCTGCAAATATGTTGCATGTAACACTTAGGATGAAGATTGGCGCACCCGCATGCTTCTGAGCACGTTCAAGGACTGTGTGATCCTTGGTTGCCACGCCCCGATGCGGGAGGTGTTGCGGTCAATGCCTTTCATGCGGCCTGCAGGCCTTCTCCTGCACATCTGAAATCTGAACCTCGTTTGCACTAAGCTAGCTGCGGGCTCCGCTGAACCTGAAAAGCAAGGCATACCTTTCTACTTGACTCAGCCCGGCTGTGCCACTACTGAGCCCCAGGCATCTTGAACAGCTAAAGGAATCACCCACCTCGACTGGTTGGCAGCCATGTGGTGAAATCTGTACCCGCCAATGCTATGCAATCTGGGACCATTGTGCAGCTAAGTCACCCAAGCAGCACGCCACAAACCCAGACGATGAGCGTGTCAAAGACGTGCTGACAGACACTGCTGGATTACGTATCTTGCAATGTCCAAAAACCGTGGGCACTGTAGGGCTGTTTTCTGGGAATTTCATTTAGACTATGACTATAGGACATAGGCTGATATAGGATCACTAAAGATGGAATTCGGTGGCAACTCCTTGACTACAACTGTAGTAAGCAAGTGCAGCAAGTGCTCTGTGACCTCAGCCTTCACCGGCACGAAGTATGCCTTGCCATCTTTCAGAACACCTCAGGTCAGGGAGTCTGGGAAGAACTAATGACTGTCTATTACTATCTAGTGTATCAGAAAACTTGCAACAATACTAATGATTTGATAGTGATCAGACTACTAAAGAAAGGTCCCATGAAACGTAATGCCACTCCGTGGACAAGCAAGCTGTTAGCTGAGATGTAGACGCAAGACCCACTCAGCCAAGAAGAGGAATACGAACACGTTGTTCATGACTCCATAAAAATCCTGGCCACCGAATTTGGGCTGGATATTGGAAGGTGACAAGCGTAAATGGAAACAGAAGTCGCGGTGAGGATTCGGGGATCCTTCCCACATCTCGAAAGCGCAGAAAGGAGAAGGACTTTCAAGAATCTATTTATGCCTTCTATATCAAGAACCATCAAACTTGGTGGCAGCACCTTCGTAGCTGCCTGGAACGATGATACTCTCACGAGCCACGAGCCACTGCCGCCCTTCAATCTGCAAGCTCGGGTCGCTGCCTCGCAACTTGTGAAGCAGGCTGCATCTGCACCTGAGCTGCCATAAGGTGCAGTTTCTGATATGGAGTTTGCAGCAACACCCCACCAAGGGCAGTAAACCAAACCCACTTCAAATGTGACCCGCAATGGAGCAGAAGGGCTGAGGCGCTTATGACATGCTCTGAGGGCGCAGACCCAGGAAGACCATGCAAAGGATGATGGAAGCCATGCTACAAGCCTGCAATCTAGCAAAGCTGCCAGCGGTCCATTGGTCACAGTATGGTTGCAGCTGAGGCATTCTACTAGTCCCTGCCTCGAAGCCGTTGCTGTTCACAATTCGATCTATCAGCGGTCTCTCTAATCTCGATGCCTGACTGCAGATGCCAATGATGGATGGTTGGCTGGCTGCCCAAAGATGCCTTTACAGTTCGGCCAGTGATATGAGCCTGAGCCTTGGTCTAAGCCATCCCCGTTGATCTGCGCTTGCAGACCGGTCAGACGTCAGCTGGTATGCAAAGTAAAGGCAGCTCACCCGACAGAAATCCTCGGCCCTCTTCCCAACGGCACGATCATCTCCTTAAACCCGGCTGCCAACATAGGCCCTGCCTTGCGCTTGAGCAAAGCTGCTTCCTGAACAGATCTCCGGTCTGTGTAAGTGAAAGGAATGGGAGTCTGATAGAGAAGCTCCTTGAATGCATTACTCGACATCTGTAACAGAATCAAGGGGCAGCTTGGAACGTGCAACACTGCAACAAAGTGGAGCAAGCGGTGATCAGAAGATTTGGCACTGACTTGTCCTTGTCTTCCTCCTCATCATCACCTCGTTTGGGCTGCATGTGCACCATGATTATGCAGCTGATCTGCTGCCGTGCATATGAAATGAATATTTCCAACCAAGCTGCTCTCTTCTTCCTCTGGCAGGATGTACGGCGATATCCACCATTCGGCAAGGTCACCTTCTGCAACTAGTGCTTGGCTTTCCCGCATCAGCCACAACGCACCACAACGCAAACAACCCGGTCTAAGCGCGTCAAAGAAACGGCGGTACTGGCCCATAGTGGCCTCAGCTTCGGGCCTACTTCGGTAACTGCCAAATTGATGGAACTGTTTTTGGAAAGGTTAAGGTGGGAAGGATTTCACTTCAGCAAACCAGGATCTGTTGCTTTTATTTGCTTTCAAGAGAAAACTGTCAGTTTTGCATTGCCAGCAAAAGCCGAAAATCATTCACTGCTTTGTAGAACTTCCGGAAAGTTCAGTGCGGCCCAGAATCCGAAACCTTCACCCACCATGGCTCCAATGGCTCCACCTCAGCCTGGGTCGGTCCTGGCAGAGCAGGCGGCCAAATTACCAGCTGCCCTTCTCCTTTCTCCCGTGCTGAGCACCGCCAAGCCGGGACCGTAACAACATGTAGACTCAGCATGACTGAGCACCCAGGGACAATCCCAACCGGCATAACCGACACGTATAGAGAGCAGGCGCCTCCATCCGAGGCCGCTGGCATCTGCCGGGTAAGTTTGGCGGGACATGGTGTTGGGTTTCTCTGCGCTGCAGGTTCCGCATGCATCGAAGAGCAATGTTCCGAGTCAGGATGGTGTGTTGTATCACATCAGCCGTGCCTCTTCAGCATCTCTTACGTTCCCAATCGCAAATCCTGGCGTTCAGCACAAGTACACCAGTACACGCAGGTCTCAGCATGGGTCTCAGCCTCCACAGCAGTGATATGAGCTATGGTCAAAACTTCATTCATACACCCCCCAAGGCCACAACGCAAAACTTCCCCGATTTCGCTGTTAGGAATGTAGAGGCTGGTTCGCGCTACGGCTTCAAATGCCGGAAGGGCCGGGCGTTGAGGACAATGACGACTCGCTACTTGCGAAGGACACGAATCGCACCTGAAGCAAGGAAGGATTCTCTCACATCCCATGGGAGGCAGATTGACCAGAGACCGAGCCTCTGCCATTTGGTGCCCACTTGGATGTTTAAGACGTAAAGGTTACAAATGCTCCAGCGAATGTAGCCTTTACGTTGGCTGAAACGTCTACAGTGTGAATAGCTCCAACACATCAATACGAGAGCTTGACTGGCCTGCTACTCTATGCACTCTGGTCTCTTCTTGCTTGCGCCCCGTCTACAGCGCGCAGAGGCCGGATCATCTTTAGCATTTCTTAGAATGGCCGGCTTGGTGTGAAAGATATGACGCTTGCTTGCCCCATGGATTTCCCATCAGACTGAGCAGCTGCGGTAACAATACTTGGGCCGTGTATCGGATCCATGCTGCACAGAGAACATATTAAGCTTTTTAACCTGCGATCGTTTTTCTGGTCCTGACGATTAGCAGGTTCTACCAAACGCCACCTGGAACAAGCTCATCTACTTGGTAAGCTGCGCAGCGCTTTGGGACGGTGATGCGCTCTCCAAGGCCAAGTCACACAACTGCAGCATACCGGGCTTTTTCTGAGGAAAATTGCGCATGTAGAATGCAACGTCCTTGGATCCTGCCAGATCTGGCAATACCAACATGCACCACAAATGAGATTGTGCAGGCAACTCAAACTGATAAGCAAGGCGGTGTGCTGACTTGAATCCCTGTAGCCTTACTTGGGCATTTTCTGCTCAAAGTGGGGCTCCAGCTTGCGAAGCTCCTGTTCAAGGACACTGCACGGAAGCTTGAGACCCTGCACTGTGCCTGCCCATGGCCATGGAATGCAACACAAGAAGGCACCAAGACCATTCTCCTCAACCGCACCAGCAAGGCTGCTGGACAGAATCAAGAACCTTAGATGGCAAAGTATTCCGTCCTTAATGACTCCCCCCTCAAAAAAGGATTGCAGGCCAGAAGCTAAAAACACAAAGACGAATTGAGAGTGATCCTGTGCAACTGAGGCTCCCATGACCTCTGCGGATGAACACTTTGTTCTCCGGATACCTGAGGAATCTGGGGGCATATGCGACCCAACTTAAGCAGCTGCTAACTCCCACCCATCACCTACAAAAACTCGAAGACTGCAAGGCCGCGCTGCGGGAAATCCCGGAATAACGCCATCAGGGCTTCCACATCCTAGCTACAGAACATAAGTCATCATAACGTCAAGTGCTCTACCTCTTGCAGCTGTGTCTACAAGCAGCCTGAGCCTGTTTGCAGACATCGCCTCAAGTGTGCCACGAAGTTTTTTCCCAATGTCATGGTCCATTGCCCCAACTACGCGTTGAAAGGATCCCGCTGTTCAATTTATCGCGCCTGTCGCAACTGTTCACGGCCGTTCGCATGAGGCCAATGGCAGAGATGCGAACAGTCGCATGCATGCCGCGTGTCGGATCTCAAACGCATGTCAAAATGCTTACAGCCACAAGCATCGCATGCGTCTATTCGGATCGCACGTGTTGCTGAGCGCCCACACACCGTTGCCATCAGCCCATGAATGAACCGAACCTCTAAGAAACGCCACGCTATGCCACGCCACATGGTGTAGCTAGTTAATACTCGAAGCACAGCGGGCTTGGTCCGTTTTGGAAATTTCCTTTTGGCATAAATCTCAGTACCATGGTCTGTCGGTCCTCCGGCGTACTGAAAAGCGTCTCCTCGTGGCTGATTGGCAGCTTTAGTGCTTCCGCCTTCTCCAGGCCCTCCTGGGTCAGTCATGGGTCCGCTCCGCTGCCCCAAGTTACCCTTGTAATCCCTCACATCATTACCCCACATCAGCGTTCGATCCTTCTCAGCCAAAGCGTGGCCGTGTAGCGCCACCAGCGGCCGTTCAGGCCAAGCAAATGTGTCTGCCGCTGTCATCAAGCAGGCCCAGTGCAGCGGCCTGGAATTCTAACCCAATCAACAGTGCAACGTATGCAAAAAGTAAAATCGCTGGCACCAAGGGTAATTATCCGTAGGCAAAACTACCCTCTGGCATGACATTGGGCTCCACACGACCAGCTCTTGGGAATTCGATTGACAGACTTAAGCCTCAGGCGTGTCCGATGTCGGCCTTGCTCCGGTCTTTGCAGAGCAGAAGCAGCAGCTCCAAGCATCTTTGTCGAAGGACTGAACCATCACGAAGTCTGATTCGCTGGGCAGCATCCCAGCTTCCTAGCGAGCGACAGCAAAGGTCGGACAGGCATCTGCAGATTTTGCTGGGAGCCTGGCCTTGCCAGATCTACTCACCAGAAGCATGTCCTGAGACTGGCTGCAAACTTATTGTCCGCACAACTGCAGTCCACTTGCAATTTGCGGAGTGCCTGCCTCTGAAGGGCCCTGGAGAAGTGCAGAGCAATTGCCGGCGACGAGGCCATCCGGCAGCACGGGAGCGGCCCCAATTTCCTCCAAGAGGACCACTGCACCCGACAGCGCCTGGCGCGGCCGAGGCTTGAACCACTACCCCTTATAGCCTGCTAATGATTCTACCATAGCAACGGACTTTGGGCCCTCACTCCTCACTCTGAACTCCACAGATCCAATCAGCAGAGGCCTCGCAAAGGCGCTGAAACTCCGAGAAGAGCGGCCCCAGCTTCGCTTCCACATCTTCTGCCGAAGCGTGACAAGCAAACCTCAATCCCAAAACAGAGCTCCTAGACTGCTCCTGCTCTAGCTTAGCTGAGCTCCTCCCGGATTGCTTGTTGTAATGGGATTTGTGATCTCATCACACGCGTCTAACGTCCTAAATTCCGTGAATCCTCTGCATTTGTTGCGTTCGGGGCTGCGCCATGCCAGGAGACTTATCTATGCTAGGCGCGCAGATCTATCCAACCATTGCCCAGCAGCTTGATGCGAGGCGCACCTTCCGCAATGGACTTGTCCTCCACGGACATACCAGCCATGTGTTCCAATCACACGAGTACCATCAAGAATTCAGCAAGCAGGGGCATTGGGATTTAACACGCTGCTGGCATTGATTTGTGGCCAAGCATGCCAGGGACAAGTACACAGGGTGATACGGCATTTTGCGTTGGCAATGACAACTCAAGACTCTAGCTTCACGAAACTCTGAACCAAATGCCAGGGCCAGGGTCTCGGGGTGGAAAGCACTGCTCATGTTTCAATCTGCTATTCCCCACTGCTTAGAAAACCAAAGCACTGTCATTGAGTGGGGCAACCACCCACATGTATCGCACATTATGGAAAGGCAAACTGTAGCTTTTGTTCTCCACACGCCCTCGATGTGCCAAAGATGTTTTCTTTGTGCAAGCGGCACACGACAGGCGGACAGGGCGCAAAGTGGAAACCCAACTTCCCACTCGCGATATCATGCTACTGCTACCCGCACAATGCAAGTGGAACAGTAGCTACCTGGATGCCAATCAACATGACTATGTGTGGAGTCATCTTCCGCCTGTCCCTAAAACGTGCAATTCCAGCTGGGATTGGAAGGCCAATTGCTGACCAACAAGCACAGTGTTCTTTGCACTGCACTAGTAAACACAGCTAGACTTCTTCGTGAGACTGCTTTGCATGCTGGCGGCATCCCCGATCAGCACATCGGCAAAGTCGGCCAGGCAGTTTTGGAGTACCAGTCTCTTCCCTTGCATTACATGTGCCGCCGAATGCCTATGTGCTTCAGCACACAGATGCGCCTCAACATTATCAGGGAGCACTACTTCCCTTTCGATTCCGTCAATGAGAATGCACAACTGCATAAATACGTGAACATGACAAAACACATGGCCACACAATGTTGGACCACTGTTGTACACATAACCTCACAAATTTAAGTTGCTTAACATGGACTGCACTGACCTGATGCCAGCTTCTGTGACATCCTCTTCCACTCCGCACCACTCAGTAGTGGGTGGAAGGGCCAGGCCTAAAACAAGGCACTGCCCGCCTCCGGGCTTGCCAGTACAAACACTCAGATCCTTATGCCCCGTCTCCTGCAGCCACTGAGTCTGACCCTCATGACTCGAGCCCTTTTCTAGGCTGCAGTGGTGCCTTGCTCCTCGGGGTGCTCTACAAGGCTCGCTGACATCTCCTTAACTCGACTCTTTTTGCAAGTCTTCAACCCAGACGCTGGGATTCCTGACATCCCTAGACACCTGACGCAGCTGAGCTTCCAGGACGCTGGCGCGATCAGCAGAGTCTTCCCGCGCCTTGCCAAAGCAGTTCTCACGATCGTGGCACAGGTCACCTTGCTGCCAGTCGCTGAGGTCCCTGCGAATCGCGACCAAAGCCTGCGGAGTTGTTGCATAGAATTCATAGGCCGCAGAATTGGGCCACAGCGCTTATGGCTTAACCCACCTAATCCCGGCGAATGCCAGCAGCATGGTGGAAGGGCCGGCCAGGAAAGCGAGGAAGCGTATCTGCGGTCGACAAATCATCGCAAGCCGATCCAAGATCCGAGTGCTCTGCCTTTAGCCGCTTGCTCTCCAGATTCTGCACATGGCCATCTAACCGCTCCTTGGTGTTAGGGTGGTGCGCACATTCACTGGGAACTAAGCCAACTGGGTGGTCTACCAGTGACTCGTACCTCAGCCGTTTCTTGATGAAGCAGCAAGCTGAACAGTGGAAGCATGAGGAAGTGAGTGCGAGGATTCACCCTCGATCTCCCAAGCTCCCTGCGCCGCTTCTAGCTCTGGCGTAGTATGAACAGTTTGTAGGCGCCGAGAGCCTAAGTACGGCACTTGCGAATAGCAGCCGGCCAGGCACAAGGTTCTTGTGTATCAGTACATGCCATCATGTCTCATGTTGCGAAGTGCCGCGCCGACAAATCGAGACTAAGTAAGTGATACCATATGCAAAAAACCCTGGAACGATATGCAACTTCCATAGTTGGAAAGCTGAAAGGAACCAAGCACATTCTCGTCAGTGAACCCCAGCACTCAGTCCTGCGCGCTTCTTGCGCCCAAGACCGCAGCTAACGGAGCACTTGCTGAAAGGGCTCCAGTCGGACCACATCTAAGCAGCAGACTTGCGTTGCCAGAACAAGAAGGCACGAATCTAAGCCCACACCACGATCACAATGCCAAGATCCCGGCGCAAATTGGCTCCCCTTTGCAATTGCGGGGGCATTTGGCGATCTCCTCCATGTCACCTTCCTGTCATCAAACGAAGATTGCTCCAAAAGTTCTAGAGCCACGAGCTGTGGCCAGTTAGCACGTCAATCACAGTGCTACGGGCAGCATTTTGCCAGCTTCACCTTGCAGCGACGACCGCCGCACTCCGAAACCCTGCACCAAGGCTCACATGCAGATCAGGCACGCCACAAACTCTTTTTGTTGGTTGTCGGAAGCACTAACATGCGGCAAAGCAAATCTGCAAAAGCAAGAAAGGAGCTACTTCAACTACACTATTCAATAGCGCCCGAAATACATTCTACAAGCAGCAGTTGATGCGGCCTCACCACCCTTCGGTGTCTAGTCTTCTGCCCAGCACACTTGGAGCAAGCCTTGGCAGTCCCCACCATTCCCCTGAACATGTGGAATCATGTGGAAAGTGTCCATCACTCCAAGTGCCCGGCACTCCACTCGCTCCACTTGCCCCACTTGCAGTTCACCGGGAGGCAGCTCTGCACAAGGGTGGAGCATTAGGGCTTTCAGGGCTTGTGGCCTTGAGGACCGGAGTAGTGAAGCGCCTTGGGGCTTAGGTTGGTGTCATGGGAGGCTCTCATGGCCGCAACTATCCCACAGTTCTCTGGCACCTAACTCTGACACTTACAAGCTGTTGACGACCTCAAAAAGTATCAGGGACTAGTCTCTTGATTTCCACGGCGTGTGATACTCAGGCAAAACCAGTGGTGCTCCTGCCCGCAGCGGTGCGTGTTGCAGGATCTCACCTGGAATTGAAAAAAAAACACGTGGCACGCATGAAAAAGGTGGCTTGGCACTATTTTGTAGGTAATTGAATATATATATATATAATCCCAATAATGAAGAATCAAATGGAAAAGACAATGGAAAATGAAACGGAAACTGCGGTGATTTTTGTGGTGTATGCGAGCTACGGTTAATATTCAGCCTTTTCCGGGACCCCTACGGTCACCAGAGCGCCGTCACAGCCTCCTCCGTGAGAACTGGCGCCGCCTTCCGTGACCTGGCAGCGAAGGCGCGAAGTTCAGTGGGGCCGGCCACACCCAACGACACCAAATGCTCTGGCACAGGTTGGCACACTTCCGGATTCCAGGGGTTCCGGCTCCCCGCGTTCGCTGTTCTACACCTCCTTCACAGGCTTGCGAGCAGGCGCTCCACCTTCGCACTGCCAGCATGCGCCACCCCATCTAGACAGATTCTGTAAATTGTTGTCCCTGGAGCTCACAAAACCAAAAAAAAACGCTCTTCTGTACAGCAGCTGCACTTGCGCAGTTCCTTCGAACCAATCCGGCTCCAGAGCCACTAAGCACCCCACGGCTCCCAAGACTTGAACACGCAGGTGATGCCGCCCATCCTTGGAGGGATCTCACTGAGCGGAAGACGCTGCACTCCGTGCTCTGTAGCACAATGATATTCAAGAACTGGAGCAAAGGTCCCTACGCGCAGGGATCACAGTGTCCAGTGAGGCAAGCCTTCTCAAAGCATACTGCAGGCACACTTAGCCGCAGAAGGAATAAACAGTTGTAGGTGAGGAGCCTTGGCCGCAAAGAGGAAGTTGTGACCTGATCTACAGCAAGTGAATGGCATTACCCCTGCTAATTACACCCTGTTTGAATGTTGAAAGATGATCTGAAGTTGGATTCACTGCTGAGATTCGGGCCGCAGCCTTGATCACCAGTTTTGAGCTTGATTCGAACCCTGCAGAAAGCGCATGATGCCATCATGATGCGCTGCCATGGCACTCAACCCGCAATACCCCTGTCAAGGCCTGGTCTTCTGCACAAATCGAATCGCGATGGCTTTCTGCTCCTAATCTGTGTGCTTGCAACTTGTCAGCCTATCATCTGGGCTCCGCATGTGCTCGCAGCAGGAAAGGCCTTATCCGTCAGCAGCGTTGTTGGCTGCCAGGAGGCTTGCGGGGTCGCTGACGTGGAGCAGGGTCCTCAGGCAGGTGTCATATCTACTACAGCTGCTTGTGCCAAACTCGAAAATCCCACCTGTCACTGCAGGCGCGGTTCGGTAGATGTGAGACTGCTGTTGCCTTGCAAAAGTCTCATTCGCAACATGTGCGATCTGCCCAATTGATCGTAATTTCAAGCTTCAGCAGTTCGGGGCTCCGGATGGATATGATCTGGGTGCCAGGCTGTAACAGCTTCGCTCGCTCGAAGTGGCTCATGCCAGGCGTGGTTGTTGTTGGCGCTGGAATCGGCTGACCCTGCAGCCCCTGATGCACAAAGTGGTGCCTCAGCAACAGCAAATGCAACAACTTCCCAACAAATGCAAGACGCTTCCAGGCGAATTTGCATTTGCACTGGTTTTGCTGTTGCAGCTGACCCAAATCTGCTGCTGCTTTCAACTGCTGTTTCAAACTTCAGGCACAGCCAAGGCAGGCACACGTTCACCGTGGGAGCCTGCCCAAATCAATAGCAAGCAGCACAGCTGAGCCTGAGAATTGCAAGTATGCACATGCTTGACCAGGCCTGGCCCAACCATGGAACGTTGAAGACTTGCAAACCTGGGCAACGACGGACGTTGCTTGATGGACATTTGAGGCCTGACCCACTCGACTCACCCCGACGCATGCTAGCTGTCATACAAGATCCAAAGGAAGCAGTGTTTACATACCAGGAGAGCCCTCCGCTCCCAAGTTTTCACAAGCACCAGTGAGAAGGCAAGCAAACGCATTGCATTTCACCCTTTGCCGAGTCTTGCTGGCTCTGGCCAGCACAAAAATCCGATTCACAATGCCTTACAAGGCACTTGGAGCCCTCGTTGCAATTCTTAGCCCACAGGGCCAAAGTCTAGCTAGCACCAGCAGTGAGGAGCTCTGATTCTCAGAACTGCTTGCCCCACCAAATGCGGGGGTTCCTTTAAGGAGGGCCCGCTACATTGTCTTAATGTGTGTTAGTAGGAAATGGAGGGATGAATCGCAGAGTAGCGCCTAAATATTGCCTCCATGTTCTCTTCCCTACCATCCATCAAGCCAGTTGTGTAGGAGCATGCTTAGGATGTTAGGGCAATGTAAGGCCTTCCCTACACCCGGAATTGGACCCAGGCCTACATCTAGCTCTTTGCCAAGGTCTCTAAAAAGTTGATGGCCCCATCTCTCATCAGAGCTTTTCTGTGCTGATTTTAGGAACTGAAACATGATAATCTTGATGCTGCCGCAGCTTCTGCGAGCTAAGCCACCACTGCAAAACCACACGGGAATTTCACAGTGCATGGGTACCCAAGTATGCCTCTCTGAGGTCATTTGGTCCTCTCTGTAAGAACGCAAAAGGACCCATATCATTGACAGATTTCACAATCTTTGCAATCAATCAAATTAATTCCCAAAGCAGGCTTCTCAGATCTGCAAGCGCCTTGACAGCAGTGTCGCTCTGGTGACTATCCTCACACACATTGAGCATGAGCTGGAAGGCTACTACATCGCAGAGAAGGCTTGAATTCTGAAGCTGAGCTAGGAGGAACACCGCATGCTGCCATTTGCTGGCTTCCTCCTTGGATTGAATCTCTCTGGCATGCAGCTGTACTTGTTGTTTGGAAACATGTAGATGTAGAGCTCTTGCAAAACTGAGGATGGGACGCAGGCACTGATGGCGCCGCTGAATGTCACGACATCACTTTGCATGCTGCAGGACACCTCGTTAGCCAAACAAAGCGCTCGTTGCCACTGGCCTCCCTTCTCACACGCGCTGATTGCACCGTTGAAGGTCGCTGTCGAGCGTCTGAGTGAGCTTTGGGCCATTTCTGTTAGCAAGTGAATGGCCTCCTCCCACTTGGCGGCATTCTCGCAGGCGCTGATTACCTCTGGCTGATGGCAACCAACTCCAGCAGAAGAAACGTTTACTTTTGAGGGGCTTCCACTGCAGCCTGCTATTCTTGCACTGACTCCCATCATGATGCAAGTACGAAAACTAAAAAGACTTCCGTCTTGCAGACCTGGAGGCGGCGTTGTAAAGAATGACGTCTGTTGCCAGATGCCTGTCCTTAAGTTGCCAAAAGAGAAGTAACGCATGCTGCCACTGTCCGGATTTTTCGCATGCACTGATGGCAGCACTGTAGACGATGACATCGCTATCCAGTTTCTCGATGCAATCTTGAAGCAGCTGCAAGGCAGCTTGCCACTGGTTCGCCTTCTCGCAGGCACTTACAACTGCACTGTAGACGATCACATCTCCTTCATAGCTCCAAGCATGGAGCTCATCCAGAAGAGCCAATGCCGGCTCCCACTGCCCACCCTTTTCGCAGGCACTGATAGTTGAGCTCCAGGTGATCAGTTGACTCTCTAGCTGCAGCCTGCCAACATCAGAGCATAAACGTACGGCTGCCTGCCACTGCCCACCTCGTCCACAGCAGCTGACAGTGGAATTATAGGTGATGACATCCACTAACATGCTGGCATTCCAGATATCCCAGACAAGTGTTAAGGCTGCCGGCCAATGCGCATGAGACTCGCAAGCGCTAAGTACGGCATTGAACGTGACGAGATCCGCCAAGCGCTTCCCGGACCTCCCTAAATCCAAATGCAAGGCCATCGCCAGAAGCCATTGGCTACCCTTGTCTAGTGCTGTAATTGCTGCGTTGTGGATGATGGTGTCCGTCTCGATGTTCAGCATCGCGGGTTCAGCCAGAAGCAGAAGTGCCAACTGCCATCGCGTAGTCCTTGCGCATGCGCTGACCTTGCCACTGTAGGTCACAACATTTGGCTGCAGCAGTTCCAAGCCTGCAGCCGCCTGCCATGAACCTCGCCTGCGAGCATTGAGGGAGATTGGAGGGCTTCAGGCAGGGCTTAGGGCTAGACACTTCCTACCACAAAGCCAAGAGCTACGCGATGATAGGCCAGTATGACAGTTCTGTGGTGCCTGCAGACTTGATGGAAGGCCGTTGTCGTGGCTACGCCATGCTGCACAGCTTGCTGCCGAAAATCTGCCAGGACATCCAAAGAGCGCTGCCATGTGCCAGGTTTTCGTTCCCCTGACATACACTCCTATCTGCTTGCTTCTCAGCTACTTGGGCTGAAAGAGCCGCGAAAAAAGATTCAAACCAGAAATAAAGAAAGCAAACAAAACCGATCCACACCTCGCGCGCAGCTTGTTTCATGCAGGGCAGTGGTCATGGCAACATGCCGGCGGATGGGATGCCCTTGTGTTCGGAAGTGCTCGATGTCCATCTGCCCTGTCAGATTCAAAGCCTGTTGCCATGAGCCTTGACTGGCTGTGAAGGTGCACCCAGAGGCAGATTCAGATGTACGTGGGGAGCAGGCAGCACTTGCCGAGGAGGGCAGCTCCTTCCACTGGGTAAGAAGGGAAGGGGCTTTTGCAGGCTTGGACACATACGCAAGCAGGTAAGCAGCAAGCAGCATTCCCCTTGTGGAGGCTTACGGCAACAGCGGTTCTTCGTCATCAACATCATAGTTTTCACCATCCTCTGCATCCTGCGCGGCACGAATGCGCACTAGCTCTTCGTACATGCCAGTGGTGACTACGAAGCCTTGTTCCTGAAGGTCCAACATCCAGCCCAGTGCCTTCTGCCACTGCGCGCCGCATGCACGAATCACGGGGCACACGACGTCTTCGTCCAGCTCGTCTCTCCCCGAAAGCCAACTAAACGCAGCTTCCCAGCCCTCACACTGCTTTCGCTCGGACAAAATCTTGATCTGCACCAAGTTGAGGAAATAGTTCGACTCCAAGGGCCCCTCAAAGCCTGCCAAGATTCCTGCAGCTTGCTGCCATTCTTGCGCGCGTATGCATGACATGCTAACTGCGCCCAGCACCACTGGGACATTCCAGCGTATCTGTGAAGCCTGCACATCGGCAAGTAACTGCAAGCCTTTTTCCCACAAAACAGCCCGTCTGGACAACACGGCCAACTGCCTATAGGTGATCTCGTTGGGTGGAACACTCTCTTCCGTCATCTGGTCAAGCAGGCTGTAGGCTTTGCCCCATTCGGATGCGCGCGCACAGGTGCAAATGGCCCAAGTGTATGCATCCACCGTGGGTTGCAGGTCTTTAAGACCCAGGGATGCAAGCAAAGACAGCGCGCGAGTCCAATCCCCGCTCGGCTCCAGGGCGCTTATGGCCGTCGCACAGTGGCGAGCGGTCATCTTCACCTCCTTCTCCTCAAGTGTGTCCAGCAGATGCAGAGCTTGAGTCCATTGGGCAGACATGCTGCATGCCCTCATGGCTGCAAGCAGCAGAGACCCATCTGCCTGCAGCTGCCGGCGCTCGAGCTTGGTCAACAGAAGCAAGGCTCGCTCCCAACGTTGCTGCGCACCGCACTCTGCGATTGCAGAGCGGAACCCATCAAGTGTGGGCCCCAGGCCCAGTTCCATAGCGCCAAGAATCACTGGAAGAGTCGGGCTGTGAGACCAGGCGTATGTGTCAGGCAGGAAAATAGCGGATAATAGGAACACTGACAAGATCAGCTCGATGTCAACTTCCAAGCTTGTTACGTGAAATCGCATGCGGACCTGAACAGCTGCAGCAACAACCGGACTTGCTTGTATTTTTTGTGCAGTGCTTTTGAAACTGGTAACGCTCTTTTTCAGGCTAGCCACTTGGTGACAAGCCTGCAGGCAACCTCTATTGCAGACGTCAGGGTCATTCAAGGTGGCCTTCATGATGACGCACGATGCCGCACTTGCAGAGAAGCTGGCATCGATCTTCCGCAGGGGCGGATGCCATGTCAATCACGTTGTCTGACCTCAGGTCTGCAAAGGATGTCCAGGGTATAGGAGGGTAGGGTTTAGAAGAGCAAACAGATCATTTTCTAGGCTTGGGGTTAGGTTGTTCCCTCAGGAAGATGCCTACTCATGGCTTGTTTTGCAACCTGCTGAGTGTAAAAAGTGTCGTCAGACAACTCCGAATCATAAAAAGGAGCTACAGAACAACGTGTGGTCTTAAGTACCAAGCCACCCTTCATGCCGCGACTTCATGAGGTACGCGTGGACCGAGTCCAAGGCGGTTTGGAGTCCTAAAGGCCCTTTGTCTTTACACGGTGGAGATCACTGATGGCGTTGACATTCACGCGGTCCCACTCCTGACGTGCGATGTTATCGCAGCTTGAACAGCGCAGCAAGACTTTGCCAAAAGATGAAGACTCGGGTCTGCAACAAAGACCGAATGGAATCCAATCCCGTTGGTGGCCTGAGCCAGCTGAGACAGCTGACCCGGCTGTTCTCCCAGGTAGGTGAACAAATCTGCGATGAACTCTTCTGCCTCAGGATCTGCTCAATGGATCTACGTGCCAGTCAACATGCTCTGCACAATTTGAGTCAGTGCGCGGTCTCATCCGCGTCCTCCACCTCGTAGGGCTTCTTGAGCCGGCGGAAGCGCCGAATCACTTTGCAGCCTGCACTTGTGGGCTCAGTTCAGCTTCGCTGCCGCTGAATGCTTTGACCCTGACACCATCAACAAGGAGTTCACCCAGGGTGGAATGCAGTACTGGCCTGGGATGACGACAGATATGCTCAAAAGGAGCACAACCACTCCGATCAACACGATCGCTGGTACGCCACCGATTGTTCCATCGCCCTGACCCATGACACCGAGCAGCAAGCTTCTCAGTAACCCCCCCCCCGCTCTCAAAACTGCAAGCCTGCTTGATGAACCTGGAAGGATCAGGCTGGGCAAACTCCTCCGGTTGCGCGATGCGTGTCACCAGCTCCTGCACGAACTTTGGCTCACCAACAGAGGCGGCATGGATGACAGGGCTCCTTAGTCTTTCAAGGATTTTGGACCCGGCTCCGGCAGAGGGTTGGTTTTATTCAAGCGCTGATGATGCTGTGCTGACCCTTTAAGCTATCAAGCCATGGCACCATCCAGACCTGTCCATGGCCCAGACATCGGCCGAGAGATCCAGCAGCTTCATCGCAGTGAGAGACCTGTCTCGCAACGTCTTACAGGATTCGCGTATGCTCTCATGGCAGTGCTCCGGCGTGTGGTTTTTTTTGGTGCTCCATGCAGCCGCGCAGCTGACTGAAGGTGCAAGCATAGTGCAGCGGCCGAAAGCCTATCGCGTCTGGGAGCTCAAAGTTGGCACCTCGTCAAGTGGTGAAGATTGGCATTCTGCACTGCAGAACCAGGATACCCGTGTCTTACCCGTGCCTCGGTTGAGGAGCAACGTGGACACATTGAAGAGTAGGTCCGAGCGGGAAGTGTGGTGCAAAGGTGTATTGCTGTCGCCGTCTTGCGCATCAATCCGCGAACCAGCATTCAGCAACAAAGTAGTGACCTGCCCAAATGCAAGCATTCCTGCCTGTTCCTTGCATATCCATGACAAGTCAATGTGGCCTCCACATGGCCATTCCTTGCGGCGTGATGCAGTGGAGTCCGCTGAGTCGCATCCTCTAGCTCCAGATATGCCTCCCACTGCAAGCTGCGGAACATTTGCTAAAGCTCTCATGCTCCTTGCAGTGCAGATTCTTCGCCTGCGCCTCCAGCAGCAGCGTGGCTGTTGCCAGGTAGCCGCCCTAGCTGCCGCGGTGGACGGGAAGGACACTGGCAAACAAGCTCCGAACCTTCGCCGCGAAGTGCAGCGGGGCTCGACCCATATCATCGCCTGACCTCATGCAGGTGCAATTCAACCCTGATCGAAAAACAAACTGCGGTTGCGGCTAGAGAATTGCTGGCAAGTGCGTAAGACTGGGGCATGGCTGCACCAGCATCTAGCAGGGCCTGAGCGGCCTCAACCTGCAAGGTTCGCAAAAGTGATCAAAGAACACCAAACACTCATCCTAGCCATGGGAGTAAGCAATGCAAAGCTGCAAAGCCAAGCAGCTTGGCCATTGCCAGCAGCTAAGTGTAGTGGCGTCTCTCCGCCTTCGCCATTGCCTGGACTGGAAACTGAGCAACGCGCAAGAACCAGGATCCAAACCAAGCCTGAGGAGTTGAACTAGACCGTCATTATGCGCATGTGCTGACAGGCAATCACGATTGTGACACGACCCTACATGCAGAACCGTTGCCACCACTGAACCACTGCAGTCGAGAGGCAGGAAGGCAGCTCCGATGCAAGGCCTAGAAACCACAGAAGAACAGGAGACAACCCTGTGCCCTTAAACTCAAAACCCCCACAAAAAATGGAACATGACACAATGGAATCTGATCTTCAAAGGCCAAGTGACTCAAGGAAAGCTGGGCCAGGTCTCCAGCCCTGGGGCAACAAAATGACGGTACAATGCTTGACACGACATTTCCGAACGCCCCAGAAAGGTGGAAGGCCTGATCATGGGACCTAGTTTCTCAGGTCATGATGAGAGGAAAGTCACGAATTGAGCAGACTTCGGGACTAGCACGGGCTGCCAGCAACAGTGCCTCTGCGACCTAGGCGTCGAACCTTGAACCCCAACAGCCCCGCCACATTCCCTCTTTGGGGCAACCTTGCACACGAATTTGGATCCTTACACCTGCCATGCGATGAGCGTCGTGCTAAGCCGATACGAGAAGGTGGCGAGAACTGCCAGTTGGCAAAAAGAGGATGTTCTGGCAAGCGATGCAAGAAGGTAGCCAAGAAGGTAGCATTGCGCAATGGTCACCATAGCGCTCCTAGCACACCCCTTCGCTTTGCAGCAGCACGGCACGCCTTCATGCGGGCCGGCTTTCTAACAGGAAAGGCGCAGGCAGATGGCGATGAGTGCAAAGGCGCGGTGCGCGAGGACAGTACCTATCTTAGTTTGCTTCTCCCAGGGCCTAAAACCATAAGGCAAGGTGAAGGTCCTTAATGGGGGGTGAGCGGCGCTGGAAAAGGTCGTGCACGGTGGAGAAACGAAGAGGGACCCCTCTTCTAGCAGGCGCACAATCCGAAGAAAAACTCTGTCGCTCAGGAGATTGTACTCGGAAGAAAAGCTCAGAGCGGGGGCCAGTCTTGAGAGCTGAGGTAGGCACTTATCTTGCTGAATCCGCCACAGATTTCCAGAAAGTGGAAGCGCAGGGCAAGCGGGAGCTTTGGAGATGGCTGAGGAGCAGCCTGGGTCTGGCCCTGATACCATCAACATAGCCTTCTACAAAATCGCATGTTCGCCCCACAAACTCCCTACACACCCCTCTCACACAGCTTCCTATATCCCTCTCAAAGAAGCCACTTGAAAGACAACTCCTCAAAATTCTCCGCCTCGCGGACGCCAAGATTGCTTGGCTGCACTGCTCCGCCAGCGCCCGCAAGGCCAACCCCTCTCGGGCTCTTGAAAGGTTATGTGGGGAATCATTGGGGGGTTCCCATTTTTGCGGTACCGTTTTGGGGGTCCCCGTAACTGGAATTCTGATATTTGGGGTCTATGATGGGGTGCCCTATTTATGGAATATATATGACAACATATGAAAGTGTCATTTGTGGTTGGGTAGGGATTCTCCATTCCCATGATTGCGACCTCTGCTCTTATGAGGAGAGCAAGCAATGTCAAGGATTACATCACTTGTTGTAGCCTCGTTGTCTGCTGTGCATCATGACTTAGTCAACAAGGCCTTGTCTGCTGGTTTAAAGCATGAGCTGGGCTTTAGGGTCAATCTGACTGCGGTCAGCTTCTCGATCGATGGGCTTCTTTCAGACCCCGAGCTTTTCATTGCACAATTACCAAAGCTGATCCTGTGGCTTCCTTTCTGAGGACTGACAGCAGATCTGCTGAGCAGACGATCTTTGTTTAGCCGCTAATATCTGCAACTCTGCAGTCTACGTCACAGGGCAGCCCCGCCTGCCAGATTCCCCAACGCTTGGCCGATTGCATGCCCTCTAGCCACAGCCCGGATGTAAGTTGGTGCTTCTGCCCAACGCTAATCAGATTACTGAGTGTGATCATTTGCCCCTGCTGTTGCTGCTTTTACTGGTCTGCAAGAGCTTGCCTTGGAAAGTCTGCATTCAGCATCTTCGCAAATGGCTCAGAGCAAGGCAGCCGCGCAGAATGAACTCCCCAACTCATCTCGACGGCTGAAGCTGGACGTATCATTCAGCTTGAAAGGTAGGAAAGCCAATGACATGGCGTAGCCTATGCATCTGTTGCAAGGACTCTGCAGAAAGTAGATATACAAAATTGTGCGACAGGGTCCTCTCACTTCCTGCAAACCACTTGGGTGCCCAACGCCGCGATGAAGAGTTGAAGTCAGCCGGGTACCTTGTGCGTTCCAGGCTTCCCTCTTGAATGATTTCCAGAAACCCTTATTCGTAGGATTCACATGGGCTCAGAATGCACGTCAACGTCATTACTAGTCATGACAACATCGGCCTTATGTGGTGGCACCGATTGTGCGTTGCTCTGTCTTGGATCAAGTTCCTGCGTTTCCAAAATGTTATATCCCCTTTGGAGGAGAAACCTAGGGCTTCCATTTCATGTTCCGTGTTGTTTTCCATATTGTTCTCTATTATTGGGGGGGAGAAAAGCGCTAAACCCTGAATGATGTTGTAATCAGTTTCCATTTTCTTGTTCATGGTTATCATATGGGATCCACATATACTCCCTATACACCCCCTACATACCCTTGTACTTCCTTACATATCCCTATGTTATACCTATATACCCCTTTAAAGGGACCTCGGTCTATCGGGATAATCACCCCGTCCCTTCCCGCCCCTGAGGCTCCAGCGAGAAGGTGGTTGCTCCAGGTTCGGCGCAGCTGCCTCTCACCCTTAGCGCCACAAGTCTGGGATAGACTCTCCCCATAAGACTCAGATTCTTCTGGCTTTATAGAGATTAAAAGGATTATGGTCCGTAATACTCCACAAGGATTCCCAAAAATATCCCAGAAATGTTTGAACATAAGTAATGACGACTGCTAATGTCTAGGACATGCAGCTTTGATTAGGGCTTAAGTTTGCAAGACTCTTTGCAGTTTGAGATTGCCGCAAGCTAGGCGTCGTCGCAAAAGTCATCCCACATTTTGCATCCACATTTGAAGCCAAGCGGCGTGAGCATGAGCTTTTGCACATCAGGCATGCTACTGATACTTCAGCTCCCTTAAACGTGTCTGAAGCAGGCCAGCGGACCTAGCTGAGGCTTGGACTCATACATGGTGTTCGGGGAGTTGTAAAACTCCTGCACAGAAGGCGGAAACTGATGCTCTTGATAGTCTCCACTTGCATTACACTAGATTCATGCTGCGACCTAGACTTGGCTTAGGAGACGACTCGAACTGCTCTGCACACGGCATGGCTGCACCCAACACTGATAAGACAACGTGGGAAACGGCAATGAGGCACGGTGGACATGACAGTCGATAAGGCTTCCGGTGCACGAAGTTCGGACGTGTGCAAGCGATCACGTTCACAGCGTCCCGACAAACACAGACTCGAAGAAACTTTGTTGCACTCAGCTTGAGCCATGAGGTGCTTAAAATCCAGAAAGCTACTCTAGGACCCAGGACTTCGGAGGCACTGCAAGCAGGAGTGCTTGAGCTTGCCCGCGAGTGGAAGATACAGCCCCATTTGGACAAACAACAGAAAGTTCTGGGCCCCCAAAAGCACCAAATTGGACTCTCCATCATCATAGTCTTCAAGATTTTGCAGGAGCCATCATCCCAAACCGGAAGCATGGGACTGCGCACAACCAGAACAGCATGAGCCATGCTGGTGATGATACAGCGTTACTGCAAAGACTTCCCTGCCTCGCACTCGTCCACCGCTGTGATCTCGAATTTGGTGCTCCCTGCAACATCTCCCCCATAAAGTACCCCTATATTAGGGTCCGAATTTGGTACCCTGAAATATTTGGTGCCGCAATATAATGTATAACCAAGAGGGGCCCATAATTTTGAGAACAACTCATATGGATGGCTGTCAACATTCCTTCTTCCAGGAACGGCGAATGCTGCAAAAATCATGGTGCCGCCTTATGACGAAAAGGAAAACAAAGGTCTGAAGTGATGGCTTTGGCAAAAAAAAAAAAGAAGAGTAGTACTGATTGACTCTTGTACCGCATGCAAAAACCTCACAAAGCACATTAGCACCTTCATTTCAGGACTCGCGCGTCGTCTCCAGGAGCTCTATTCGTCCATTCTCCATCAGTTTCGCCCAAGGGTGTGTAGACTGAAGTGTATCTTCAATGTCTGACCACCCTCGCAATGGGGGTGAGGGCGGGCGCAGCAGGCCGTATGGGAATTTAGGGTCTAGGATTTCGCTGAGGATAGCCCCCGCCAGCTCTTCCATGCTGGCTATGTTTGGAATCAGATGTCTTAGTACTGCTTCATGTCTTAGATGGCATAGCGGTCACCGCAGGCCGTTTCCCTCTATATTTGCTAGCAAGATGCTAGCGCCAACCTAGCACATATTTCGCATAGTGACTTAGATTTTTTGGCGCACTGGCAATATGCATTTGGAGCAAACGCTGCAATATGCACCTGGACATGTCACTCAATTGTCACTCCCAGGTTTCAGATGGGTCCTACAGGTTCGGATTTCCTCCTTTCGCCAAGCCATGCCCTTGACGCCAGCTACCCTACCCTACAAGCCGAAAGGCTAATTTGTCGCACGCAAGAAGCCTCAGCTCATATCATGTCATCTGTGGAGACCGTTACCATAGGCCTTGTCATCAAAGGAATACCTAGCGCCACGCTAGCGCCATCCTAGCGCCTACACGGGGGAGAGCCCGAAACTTGCGTATACGCAGGTGCCGCCTTGTAGCGAAGACTAAACCGGCAAGAGCGGAACCTCATATCGCACTTCTATCATATCTTACATACATGATATTTTGACATCCGCCCGTATGGTACCCGTATAGTACCCTTATATATTTGGGGTGATTATCATCATAGCCGGGTTTGGAAGAGGTGAGCCATGTATTAGAAGCAGACTCCTTCAGGCACTAGGCTGGACAACCCATCCTAGCGGCTCCAGCAGTACGTGGCCCATCCATTGCCTAACTCATCATCACCATCGTAGAACTTGATGACGAAATCTTCCGGTGTCTCAGCGAGATAGATAATTTGTACTGGGAGGATTTCGCTTCAGGAAACATGCAGAGATGGAAAGCACAAGACCAAGCTGACACGTCCTACCCAAGCTCTACCACCGCAATCCTGCAGCCTTCCCATCTAGGCTCTCACTTCTTAGGCACCACAGGCGTTACCTGATATTGCAAAGGCTGCAGACCATGCGGAACGCGAGTGCCCCACCATCGGATCGCTGGTGACCGTGTCAACGAGCTGGAAGTCCAAGACCACTTCAGAATTGGGCCTAGTTTTCCATGGGCTTCCAGGCTTCGCAACAACCAAGGCCTAGTTCAGTGCGCTTGCCGGCAAGGTGCTCGACAAAGATGTTGCCAAAGCTGCCTTGGACGCCGTTGAACTTCGATCCCTGCACAGGTGCGTCCGCGCAATGCACCCACTTATATGGAGCCTTCCACATGCATGGATGCCGTCGATCTGTTTTCATATTGTATAGCCCAACAAGGCTGGAACTGCACATGATCTGAGGCAAACAAAATGTTCACAGGATCTTTTAGTTGCACTGTGTGCATGGGTATATGAGAGAACCTACTAGGACCTGCTGTGTTGACATACAGTGACTGTCAACAAAAACAACACAAACAAGAGTGGAAGAGTGGGAGCGCTCGCACTGGTCATCTTCGTGCAGCCAGCAGCAGTGATGGCGACGGCGGTAGCAACGGTGGCACTGGCGTGGGCCCGGGCACGGGCGTGGTGCGGATGCAGGTGCAGTGGCGCTGGTGCTGGTGTTGGTGCCGCGGAAGCACTAATTGTAAGAGTAAACTATCATGGCCTTCATTACGGTCTCACTCTTTGTAGCAATCACAAAACAGTCACAGCAAGGCAAGCCGCAGCAGCAGCAATAGCAGAGGCAGCAGATTTATCAGCAACAGCAGCAGTTGCTACAGTAATGCCGTAAATATGCATGGCTGCTCGTGCTCGGCAAGATACATGAGCATTACTCATGGCAAGTCAGGTTTCCTCCTGCAAGTTCCAAATACTTCTTGGCATGAAAAGGAAGCCACGTCGCTCTCACTCAGTGCAATCAGTGATCCATCACCTCATCTTTTTCAGATCAGCGGGCATACGTTTCCCCCTCCAATGTATGAGGAAATGTGTCAGTATCCTGTAATGCTCTGTAACCTGCATTCCTTTCCCTTGGCATGCTTTGCAAGGATGCGCTGTTTGTTCCCTTACGCGTCTGGAATGTTTTGGAGTTCGTGGGGTTGGCGGGACACGTATATGTAAAAACTTTCTTCAGGTTCGAGAACATTCAAGCAGCATAGCTATGGTGAGCTGGCAAATGCAGGGACCTTGCGACATACACTTGGATTGATTGGTTTGTGAATCTGTGCTTGTTGTCTTCTGCGAGGCCATGACTAAAGGCGCATCCGCGGAAAGCAAAATAGCTCAAACCTTACACATCCCTGTTTGTCGACAACTTCATGCCCAGACAAAGAAGCCTGCCCCGACTTGTAGAAGCTTTCATCGTTGACAGTCACTCTCAGGTCCACGGTCTGGGAGTTATCCTTACTGGGAACATCCATGCTGCTTCACTTGGCTCTGTAGACAGAAAGAAGGATGATCGCCATATGAATGGGGCAAAGTCTTCTCATAAGTAATAAGTAGTAGACTAGTCAGCACCTCTCTGCACCAACCGTAAGCCAGGCTTCAGCTGCGACACTCTTGTAGCGAAGAGCTTGTTCGGCCTGCAGCAGCAGATCAGCGACCAGCACACTGATGAAAAGGCAAGTGCCAGTCGGAGCCTGGAAGTCAGGTCCTTTCCCATCCAGGTTGTTGGCTGCAAGATTCTGCAGGTTCAGGTACAGGTGTGGGCCTTCGTAATTTTCACCATGCATGGACACTAAGGAACATAGCCATCGCACAATGGCCAAAAAGGCAACAGCAATTGCTCGGGCACGTGCTGTCCCAGTTGACCAAGCTCCTGGAGATGCCAAACCTGCGGGGAACAATAAAAATCAAACATCCACAGCAACTACGGTTCAAATCTCTTGGAGGTGGGTTGTCTAATCTTAGATGCTCAGAGCCCGGCGCACAAGGGTAGGCCTCTTCCATTGCACCATGACAGTACTTGCCCGCCTGCAGAGCTCGGAAGGTGCATGTCACTGTCTGGGCGATGACCATCTGGCAAGCAACAGACGCAGTCAAGACCCACACCCCGTAGCCATGCTGCAAGACTTTCCGCGTCCGTCTCTTGATGCCTGGGAGAGTAGGACCAGCGGCACTCGGAGAAAACGCGGCTACTGTTGCTGGTGTCTTTGTTGTCTTTATCGTCCATGTCGTTGACTTGTCGCCTCTACTGTGGGCGCAGCAGCAGCAGGAGTACGAGCAGGCAGTATGCAGTAGTCAGTAGTCCTCATTCTGCTAGTACTGAGGTTACTGGCACTACTAGCACTTGCAATGCTACTGGTACTGCTGATACTACGAGTACGGCTAGTACTACTCGTAGCAGCAGTAGCAGCAGTATCGTTGCGGCAGCAGGAGACTCGTATCATGCACGCTTGCCATTGTGTATCTGCATGTAATAGAGATATATTCGAAATGCCGAGGCTTTGCCTTGAGGCCGCCAACCGTTTGAGGGAAAATTCAAATTCTGGGTGCCATGCCGTGGCACGAGGCGCTACAGTCAGACCACATCGTCCACTCAGAGAGAATGCAGTCCTCAAAGTCCGCTGGCACGGTCTACTTAGCTTCACCAACTTTGACACACTAATCACTCCACCCTTCTGATCCGTTGTCCTGAGTGTCTTTGCAGGGCACGCCCTCGTTGCATGGTTCTTGGTGTCAGGGCACAGTGAGCACTGGTTGTGCAAAGGTTGAATGACAGAAGAACATTGAACAGAAGTGGCACTTGGCACTCAAGCAAGCCGCGAAAAAGTGCAAGGCTGATGCAGTCACTTGATCATTCTTCAATTGCATTCAAAGCCTGGGCTTGTTACCCTCTTCATGGGAGTCACCGTCGGGCATGCGGCCGCAATCCGTGGCCTCACAAACATTTGCGCTCCACCAAGCCCGCTGCCAGCAGAGCAAGCTCTCCTATTCTGCTAGGTTCTCCAGCCCTTGACAATTGGACATCCAGTAAACAACTCTTCCGTGAGCTACAGTACCCTGACATGGCATGCGACAAAATCGGTTGCAAAGAGTTGAAGCACACTTACAGGGCAGATCCAGTCTAGAATCGGGCCCATGGCCTTTCGGAGCAGGTGCCGAGCTCGAGCGCGCATGCCACCCTCACAGGAGGTGGAGCATGCCTGAGCCACTGGGGCGCAGCAGCTTTGTTTTAAAGCCCAACTCCTGACCGCTGACGAGTTTTCTGTTGGCAGGCTTTGCAGCCTTTATCTCTTGCAATAAATCTTGGAGCCGCTGGTTTTGCAAGCCGAGGGCTACTTGTGTCGTCTTGGACATCACTTCTTAGGTTGACCCTTGAAGCTTTGCAGGGCTTTTGCAAGCTTCAAGATAATTGGCTTCCTTTGCGGGATCCCACATCTGTTCCAAACTCAGCGAAGTCCCAGAAAAGCCACAAAACGGACAGCAGACATGAACATGGCCACGCAAAAGACAGTCAAACAAGAGCTTTGTCAGCTTGCTAAAAGAGTTTGGGGCTCTTGACTATAGAAACTCGAACCACAGCTTTAAAGCTTCCAATCCGATCAGGCTTTGCCCGCATTGGCCTGCCAGTCGTGCCACTGCGCCCAGAGGCCATCCACACATAGCCTTGGCAGCGACAGCGGACAGGTACGCAGCAAGGACATCGAGCATGCAGCTGTTCCCACACGCACCCAAGGTAACAGCAGTGCCTGCAACTGCCTGTCCCAGTATCAAGAAAAGGTTTGGAGTTTAGACACTACACTATACCAACAAATTGCCTCAACAACCTTCCTGGATAACGTCAAAGGTCGGTCCACTAATCAGGCTTTGGGACGAGCGGTTCAGGATGCATCTGACAAATCCAAGCCTCGCACTCTCCTTCTGGGCATGGCTCGGTGTTGCATGGCTCCACCCAAGCCTTCATGAGCTTTCGTTACTTCAAGTCACAGTGGGGTAGGAAGAAAATCTTCAGTTAAATGCTTGGCGCCTGTAGAACATTATCTTTTGTCTTGCATCTTTTTTGCTGGTTCCTTATCATTTTACACGTTTAAAGTACGAGTTGCAGCTTCAAGTACTTGTTAGTACTGGAACTCTCTATGAAGAATAACAGAAACCTCACCTTTTTCGAAGGAAAACAAACTTCAACCCCCAAGAATGTAGCTTCCATAACCTGAGTACAGCCCAGCCAGATTGCTAAAAAACTTAGGCTGGGCAGCAAGGGGCAAACAGCTTGTCAAACCCAACACTCTCATTTTGACTGTTGTTCCGTTATCGTTTTGCTGCCCCAAAGGCGGTAATACGCACACATGCTCAGCTCTCTCATCATGTTCTGGTTCAAACACGATCGCTTTATTTGTTCTTTTCGCTTAACAGGGGTTGGCATCCTGTCAGCCGGGTGGCTTCAATTTTGTGAGTTTTGGGTATGGGGTTTGAGGTTTAGGGTTCTTCCCTGTAGAGAGCCCCGTGCTGATCGACCAGACCCCAAACACTGACACTAGAGAACCCACTACTGATTGGCGTAGTGTGGAGGTCTCTAGCCCTTAACTTGTCGGTATGGGGGCTTGTACCGGTTGCTGATAAAGACTCCACGCAGCAGAGAACCCCCTACGACGCCCAATGGCCAGACCCCGAAATCCTGTCTCCCTAGCTTTGAAGCCCAATTCGCAGTGCCAACCATGGGAGTGAATCCTCGAGACAGTGTTGGGGGCGATTCTACTTTCCGGCCTTGTCCTTCGGCAAGCAGGGGTCGCAGCCCGGGGATGGCCACCTGAGGGATGCGGTGCTCTCTTGGCATGTTCTTTGTCTGTGCTGCCGTGCAGTAAACATGCTGGCAGCACGAGGTGATATTGCGCAGTCGATGGCGTTGGCCTAGGAGAGAAATTTCTTTGCGCCAGAGGCAAGGCACGGTGAGGAGTTCTTAGCCATGAGCCACCCCCGCAATGTCGGGTGCAGTCGCTCCATTCCTTCCACTTGCCCCAGACCTTAATGCCACACCACTTGTTGCCAGGCTCCCAAGTGTGGGCCATGGGCAAACACGGCCACTGAAGCCCCCACACATGGGTCACAATTTCCGCAGTGCTCCTTCTTGCATGGCTTGACCTGGCCAAAGTTTCACAGTTTCTCATTCACACTGCCACAACCCAGACCCAGTGGCCTCTGTCAGGTTGCCAACACAACCCGTGCCACAATGGCTGAGCCTGCAAGCACTACTTAGCCGAAGAGCTCGCGTGTGCATGAGCGGCGTTGATCGAACTTTTGCGAGCAAAGAAAGGCATCAGTTGCGGCTAAGCTCAGGTTTCCTTACCAAAAATTTGGAAGTGCGTCAGAAGCTCTATGCAACGTCAAGTTCGTCTGACCGGATATCACGCACTAATAGGCCTGCTGGTGATCTTGCGAGATCTTTCCTGCTCAGCTAGAGGTGAAGATGCATCGGCGGTTGCCTTCTTGCAACCCTTTGCCCCCAAGACCCAACTTTCAACATTAAACGCAACACCAACAACCGCTGCAACAACCCATCTTCACGACCAACACTGATCTCCTGGAAGCCAGGCCCGCAGGTAGCACTGCAGGGTGTCCACCTCAAGCAGCTCTACTGTGCAATCTAGCCAGAAAGCCACAGTAGCAGTCCAGCCGCATTGCAGCATCCGAGATGAGGCTAGAAACAGACTGCAAAGACCTTCCACCCTAGGATCATCTTATATGAGCATGCTGGTCCACACCATGCCTACCAAGCAAAAAAGATGCATGATTTGAAATCTGAGTGAATGAGCGTGTATCTAGTTGCAGCTCTCGTTCCCAAAAAGACCGCTGAGGCTGCTGCACCGTCCAGATGCTGACTTTGCAATTGACGTCGCTGTTCGCACAGGGCCTGCTTTGCACACTCACTGCGGTCACTCTATGTCAATCGTGGGAATTCTGCGAAAGCTGGTCAGCAACTCAGTCAGGGGCTCACGGTTACATCCAGCAGTTTCGATCAAACCTGGGTCGCATGGCCTCAAGTCGCTTGCCCTGTGCGCACTGAAGATTCTCAACAACGACTGGAATTCCAAGTCATCCTTGGGTCTCGGCTTGCCCCTATGCTTGGGGTTCACTTCCACCTGCTTAGCCGCTTTTCAAGCATGCTAGCAACTTGCACTGTCGTTGCAAGCCGTGGTTTCCGGAATGCTGGAACGTCATCCAACACGTCACTAGGTCAAAGAGTCATTTTTCAACTGTTGCATGTATGCTTCTCCAACCTTTCGCGCTTTTCACACAACAAACTTGCAGAGCTGCCAGACTCCTCGTGAGGAGTAGCATTGTTGGCACTACGCCTGCTGCTGGAATTTCATCGTCTTGCATATGGAACTGCTGGGCATTTCGCAGAAACGTTTAAATACTTTTCAGTCTCTTTGCAAGAAGCTTCACTCGTTGTACCTTTCGATAGGTTTTACTTACGCTGTTTGGCTTTGTGTCTGTTGCTGGAACACATTTCCACGAAGCCACAGGATTTCACGGTCGCAAAAGACCATGCATTTGCACCGGTTGCAATCTTTGCAAACATTATTCAACAAATCAACTTTTTGATTGCTTCTGCGTTCGTCAGGTTACGACAGGTTTTCTGGAGACACTTTTCTGGTTGCCAGAGCAGCGTTGATACAGAACCATCCGGACGCGGGGTTCAGCGGATCAACCCTTACAACACGAAGCACTTTTCACTAAAAAACGTCCACGGCCCTTTGAAAGCATTGCCGCGCTGGGAAGTCACCGAAGTCCAAGTCGCCCAAAGAACAACAAGTGAGCAGCCTTTTTTGGGGTGGTGGAAACCAAGTACGAATGTATTCTTCGCATGAAATGCTATACCCCACAAGGATGAATATAATGCGATATATGGTAGTTCCCCTAAATAGGGGACCCCCAACATAGACCCCAAAATACGGTAATCCTTATCATGGGGACGCCCAAGAAGGTAGAACTAATTCCGGGAAACCCCTAAACCCTATAAACTCGTAAATAACCGCAGTTTCCATTTCATATTCAATCATGTTCTTTTCCATTGGATTTTCCATTATCGGGGTTATATTTCGCGAAACCCTGAACCCTAAAAGATATCTTTTGAAAATCCATGCTCCTTTCCATTGCCACTATACGATCTCCAAAGAATCCACACATACCACCAATGTTCCCCTAAATGGATTTAAGGCTACATATTGTAGACGAAAGTATCATTCTAGGCCTGCCGCTGTCGCTGCTTCTGACCCCCATCGCAGGATTTGTCGCCTGAGGTGAGGACAACTGCTGCTTTCTGCTTCCCGAAATCAAGCATCCCTTTAAAGGGGATATGGGCGATATATGGGGGGGTTAGAGAGGGTTTGTTCTTGCTACAAAAATGGAGCTGTGACATGCGGGGCCGGTCAAAGGCGCTGGCAAGCATCCCACTCCGTCCAAGGGCTAAGGATGCAGTCCACTGCGACGGTGCAGGGCTGGATCTGGGCAGAGGTAAGGTGTTTACTATTTGGGATTTCGGGTTTAGAGGGATAATGGAAAATGGAAACTACTATTTACGATTTAGGGTTAAGAGGAATAATGGAAAAGAAACTGGAAACCACTATTTAGGGTTTAGGGTTTACTCAAAAAGGCATGACTAGGGTTATATACGGATATTGGGATTTATATAGGGATAGTGGAAACGGAAGCTACTGTTTATGGATACTCTCAGAAACAGGCATGGAAATTGGGAGTATGTGGTAAATAGGGGGGCCCTAATATAGACCCAAATACTCTCATCCTTATTATGGGGACCCCCAATTCAAGATGGTACCCGAAACATATTTGGAAACCTAATCACTATAAACCCCTATATAACCACAGTTTCCATTTCATTTTCAATGTTCTTTTCCATTTGATTCTCCATTATAGCTGATTTTGGGAAACTCCCATCCCTGTAAACCCCTGTATGAGCTGTAGGACCCCTAGGGTAGTACCCCTATTTTTGAGAAACAATCAAACCCCTAAACCCTAAACCCCCAACCCTAAACCCAAAACCCCCAACCTTAAACCCACCCCCATGTAGCAATCAGACTGCCCTCTTATCGGCACCTCCTGCATGGTGCCATTGCAGGGCTTGCCTTCCTGCACAGAGCGCGAACCCTGATTGCGACCAATTTTGAAGTAGACTCACAGCTTCAGGCGCTACATATATATATATAAATATGAATATATATAATGTAGTATACTGCATTTTTCTCATGGCCTATTATAGTATAATATAGTATTATATAAGATATTACAAGATGTTATAGCATTCGAGCAGGCTGAGCCTTGGAGGGCTGCTCAGCAATGGTGCGGTACCGCTCCTGCTTTTCAAACTTGCTCCTAGGTTCAATACTGATATCCCATACCTAGAGGTGGTACTTACTCAAAATTAGGGGGGACCCCGATATACACCCAAAAATACTACATCAGGGGGAGCCCCAATGAAACTCCCAGGTTCTAGGACTGTCCCGCTGATCATGGGAATCGCAGTGACTCCACCTGGCCAAGTGCCAGAGCCACACACTTTATTGCATTTTCGGCTTCCATCCCTCAGCTCAAGTTGTGGCAGCACTCGCTCCACGGAGAGAGCTCGCAGTCCCGAGCAGCACTTTCATCACCTAAAGCCGGCAACGATCATGAATGATGAAAAAACTGCGGCGTCCTGTTGTGTGATTGAGGACACATGAGACTCAAAAGGTCGTCATATACTTCAACCTTCGGGCCATTGCCTAACAGACATAATGAAGACCCTCAAGGGGTCCTGCATGGTCCTGCAAGAGCTTCAAGGAGCACAGATGCTTCTCCTCCAGGAGCCTATCTCCAGGTCCCGGGCATGGCTCCAAATTGCAGGGAATCAGCTCCTCCAGGCTGCCCTGCAAGCCCGTTGGGCAATCTCCATCACGACGCTGTCACATTGCGCTGAGGACAACAAAGGAGTTGTCTATACAAACAGACCGTGCACCTTAAATTGCGATTTCTTAAGCTGCAACCCTGCAGCACTGGACGTGGGAAGCGAAAAGTAGCGGCCCATAGTTCTAGAAGACTACACTAGACTTAGACTGCTGTTCCTGGTCCCGTCTGTGCATGCCGAGGCAAAGAAGCGACCAAACCAGGGGACTCCTTCCAATCGCTTAGTGCCTCAGTGCCTCCACGTCCCCTCAACACAATGCCTCACAGGGAGTGCCGCCGCCAGCAGGTGGCGATCGGATCCCACGGCTCCTGCAACAGCAGCGAGCCATTCTACGCGTCATCCCAGCGGCCGGCACTTACCCAACTCAGACTCTCTGCAATCGGGACATCTTGCAAGGCTTGCCTATGCTTCAGGCCACCACCGCAGAGAGCTGTGCACCTTGGCGGGCGGCCCTTATTGGTACTCAAGATAGAATATGCCCATCATGCTATCCAAAGTCTGCTTCACGTGGTAGCGTGGTAGCGTAAGAGCGTTGCTCCGTCCACTGTCGCCAGTTGCTGAACCTTGGCTGGCAAAATCTGAGGCGCATTGCATAAATAGTGAACCGGAAAGGAGGCCTGCTGAGAGCTTTGCTTACAATCTGTTCTCGCAGACAAAGCTGCATAGTCGAGACAGGGCTCAACATCCTGCACACACGACTCTGCCACGCCACCGCGGCAGAGGCGCTTATAAACGGCAGCTGCTCTTACAGTCCTCCAATGAGAGTGGAGGCGCCGGATAGGTAGTGCCACAGGGCTCGCCTCCGTTTTGGGCCTCAGCAGAGGGCTTCTTAGCGCTTTAGGCTTTAGCATTGCTAAGCGTTTTGCCTGCGCGAGGATGGTTCGCGCCCTGAGACGCTGGTAACCTGTCTCCTGGCCACACACGGTTTCTTGACGATCTCTTTCTAAGGAGGCACTTGACCAGCGGAAGCCTTGGCACAGAAGCTCCAGTCATCCCAGTCTCCGATGGTGCAGTCAACTTCCTGACAGAAATCATTTTGAAGATCTTGAAGGCTAGCTTTCTGCACAGGTAGTCTGACCATACAAGCCAAGGTGTAGCTTGATCCTGGCTCTGACCTGGAGTGAATGCTAGCCAATTCGCTCCATGCCATCCCTGCCAAAACCCTGCGAAAACCTGTAGAAACCTCGTAAAAGCCCGGGATCAACTCCATGCCAACTGGCCTCCTTGCAAGACTCTCGGGGGCAACTCTTTGTCTCCGTCTGGGCACCAAAGCCTTGGTGTAGTTGAACCAGTGCAGAGGAATTCTCTTGGTCAAGTTCAAGACCGCAGCAGGTCCCACAACTTCAAGGTAACCCCTGAGGTAGAGAATGTATTCATGGGCGGTCCGGGAGAAGTGGTTGTGTAATCAGTTCCATGATGCCAGCCGGCCAGATTCTCAGTCTCATGGAAGTCCTATCCAAAGTCTGCATCCATTAGACTTGAGCTGCTTGTTCCGGTGGTCCTTGCTCGAAAGTCTCTTGCAGGCGTCACATCTCATGTAATAGCACTTTACAGTACTTGAGCCTAGATCTGTAGCTAGGAAGAACCACTTCCAAAACAATATCTTTCCACTATCGAGCAAGTAAAAACCCTCAAACCCAAGGTTTGTAAGTATAATCCTGCAATGTCGCCCCCTTGAATACAATCTAGGCTGTTTTGCTGCACATTATGTATGAAACCAAGAAATCTCTGTAAAGTGGCCGGGGCAATTATTTGAATACCACATCCCCTGCGCCTGTAACATTATATGTGAACATCACCTTGACGTCAGCAATCACCCGAAACCCCAGCATTAGATACCAAGCCCACTCACTGTAAAGTGATCTGTGCACATCTGTGCACCTTCATGAGGTTTCAGAACAACAGCAGGCCTTTGTAGAAAACGATGGGGGCAGCTCTTTATGCTGAATCACTCGAGAGCAACAAACAGCGTCGGGAAGAACACTAGGAAGGATGCTTCATCCACCACTCATTCTCCATGAAATTTGGTGGAAGGGCTTGCAACAAAATTGCTACCGCCAAAACGTCCCCCCATAAAATGCCCGAAGCCATTTTACAGAGGGGCTAGCCTAGTCATTTTATAGAACAGTGCCAAAGGGGATATCATAATATGTTCTTGTATTCTGCGCAAGTCTGGCCCTGCAGGAGCCTCGTCCTGAGGCTGTCGCATGGATCCCCTCCGCAGCTGCTCGGCTGCGCAATGACACGATGGCGGTTGCCTGATTTGGGCAGGAACTGCTGCAGTAGACTGAAAATTTTGTCTCACTTGCCAGCAGTCGCGATGTAGGCGCGATGTAGGCGCGATGTAGGTCCAGGTTCGGAGGTTGTGAATTTGACTTTGCTTGAAATGACTTCTGAAGCAAAAGGATCTTCCCCTTCTCCTCCCAGTAGGAAGCTCATCCAGATGCTCCCCCACCCTCGCACCACTCACTGAGTTCTGCACACAGCTGCGTACAGGACCTCTGAAACCAAGCATTGCGCAAACTTCTCTATGCAAAGGCATCAAAGTCATCCCCTCCTTGCGCAACCAAGGCACGGCTCTGACCAGGGCCCCCAAACACCGAATCTGCAATTTCTTGGATGACAGTCTTCCTTGGCAAGCATGGAAGACTACCATCAAACACCAGCAGTCCAGCACCCTCTGCCCACCAAACGGAGAGGGGGTCACTTAGTCAACCTTTTTCCGGGTCACTTAGCCAACTCGGATCCCGCACCGATTCGGTTCACTTAGCAAACACTTTTGCGGTCCCTTAGCCAACTCAGGATTCTGCGACAGCGTGCAGTGTCTAGGGCCTAGCGTTTACGGGTTTTGGATTTAGCATTGGGGGTTTAGGGGTTTTGGATTTAGGGTTTAGGCGTTTTGGATTTAGAGTTTAGGGTTTGGGGGTTTTGGATTTAGGGTTAGAAGCTTCTAGATTTAGGGTTTAGGGTTCGAGGGTTTTGGATGTAAGGTTAGGGTTTAGGGGTTTGGGATTCAGGTTTGAGGGTTTTAGGGTTTAGGGGTTTTGCATTTGAAATTAGGGTTTAGGGGTTTCGGATTTAGGGTTTGAGGGTTTTGGATTTAGGGTTTAGGGTTCGGGGGTTTTGGATGTAGGTTTAGGGTTTGGGGGTTGTGGATTCAGGGCTTCAGGGTTTTGGTTTTAAGGTTTATGTAGGGGAATTGGATTTAGGGTTTAGAGTTCGGGGGTTTTGGATGTAGGGTTAGCGTTTGGTTATGGATTTAGGGTTTAGGGGTTTTGGATTTAGGGTTTGGGAATTTGAATTTACAGTTTGGGTTTAGGGGTTTCGGATTTAGGTTTGAGGGTTTTGGATTTTGTACAGTTGCCACGCGCTTCCAATGCTTTGGCTGCACAACGAGAAAACGGAGCTCTGGCGCGTAGGCGCCGCCAACAGCTTGGCAGGGAATTGTGCGTTGTATCTTGTGATGTGAAGTTTTAATCCATGAATGGAACTGTGATATGCGGGGTCCTTACCTATGTAAAGTAAGTAGTACTCCATAGCGTGACCAAATACTAAGGAAAGCCAATGAGGGGAGGTGGGCCTGTTTAAAGATGGTTATGGCATGCCACTCTGTCTTTGAGGCCAGGTGCAAGGGTTTCGGATTTAGGGTTTAGAGGTGTTGAATTTAGAGTTTAGGGTTTAGGCGTTTTGGATGTAGGGTTTAGGGTCTAGGGGTTTTGGATGTAGGGTTAGGGTTTAGGGTTTTTGGATGTAGGGTTAGGGTTTAGGGGTTTTGGATGTAGGGTTAGGGTTTAGGGGTTTTGGATGTAGGGTTTAGGGTCTAGGGGTTTTGGATGTAGGTCAGGGTTTAGGGGTTTTGGATGTAGGGTTTAGGGTCTAGGGGTTTTGGATGTAGGGTTAGGGTTTAGGGGTTTTGGATGTAGGGTTAGGGTTTAGAAGTTTTGGATTTAGGGTTTGAAGGTTTTGGATTTAGGGTTTAGGCTGTAGGGGTTTTGGATTTAAGGTTTAGGGTTTGAAGGTTTTGGATTTAGGGTTTAGGGGTGTTGGATTTAGATTTAGGGTTTAGGCTTTAGGGGTTTTGGATTTAAGGTTTAGGGTTTGGGGGCTTTGAATTTTAACTTAGGGTTTAGGGTTTACGGATTTAGGGTTTGAAGGTTTTGGATTTAGGGTTTAGGGGTGTTGGATTTAGGGTTTAGGGTTCGGGTGTCTTGGATTTAAGATTTAGGGTTTAAAGGTTTTGCGTTTAGGGTTTAATGGTTTTGGATTTAGGGTTTAGGGGTGTTGGATTTAGATTTAGGGTTTAGGCTTTAGGGGTTTGGGATTTAAGGTTTAGGGTTTGGGGGCTTTGAATTGAAACTTAGGGTTTAGGGGTTTTGGATTTAGGGTTTGAGGGTTTTGGATTTAGGGTTTAGGGGTGTTGGATTTGGGGTTTAGGGTTCGGGCGTTGTGGATTTAAGGTGTAGGGTTTAAAGGTTTTGCATTTAGGGTTCAATGCTTTTGGGTTAAGGGTTTAGGCTTTAGGGGTTTTGGATTTAGGATTTAGGGTTTAGGGTTTAGGGGTTTTGCATTTAGGGTTTAATGGTTTTGGATTTAGGGTTTAGGGGTGTTGGATTTAGATTTAGGGTTTAGGGTTCTTTGATTTAGGGTTTAGGGTTAAGGGTTTTGGATGCTGCCCCAAGCTAGCCTTCAAGATGGGCCCATGTTGCCGAATCTGATCCTAACACAGCCTACATGTTGATCCGAAGACAGCTCCTCGTGTGCGAAGCGGCCAACAAAAAAGTTTGCCAAGCGACCCCTAAAAAGCGGGCTAAGGGACCCAGAAAAGTGTTGGCTAAGCGAGCCCTTTACCCACCAAAACTGCGAGGTCTTCTTGACAGTGAACATCTTGATCTGGGCCGCGCGCATTGCAGCTGGGAGTGTTACACCTTGCAAACCATCCAAAGCGTCCACAGCCACGTCTCTTCTTAGGCCAAGTACTGAGTACAAGGCGCTTGCCAAGTGCAGATCCCCTTCCTGTTCTTAGCACATGATGCAGCTAGGTTGCTCCACAGTCTCTGTCTGCTCGCCGCTGCAGACCATGCTTTGACTTCCAGCCTAAGGGGATGGGCTTCATCAACACTTCCAGACATGTGTCCGTTAGATGCTACAGCAGTATCTCGTGCTGCATCCACTGACAGGCTCCGATGCTACATTCACCAGACTTTGCAGACAGGGTAACGTCAAACGCATACTATAGGTTCATAAGTGTCAAACATGCCGGTGCAGAACCAGCAGCAAACCAAACTTCTGCTTAAAACATCCAATCTGTAAGGCAACTGCGAAAAGATAGACTCCACCTGCGCTGGCATTGTAGTCCTGGGGCAGCTTTGACGGTTGCAGCTCTGAGTACTCCCAGAAATGTTCCAAGTCACAACCTGCAGCACACCATGGGACGGGCATCCGGAATCTGTGTATCACTTCATGTTCAGTGGCAGACAACACAGGGTACCTAAGAACGTCCTGTGCGCTTTGTCTCTAGTCAGTCCCACTTCGACTATGTCGTTTGCTGTCGACGTCTGTACAAGGCTGTTTACAATAGAAGGATGCGGGAAAGACAGAACATGTGCATGCAGCTGATGCAAAGACGAAGATATCGAAGATGCACTCCCTGAAGCTCACACTGCCTCGCCTGATCGCTGAACGGTGCTTGTGAGGTGATTTCAAGCCTTGCAGGTGCAAGTCCAGCATCCATTAGCTGCCAAACCGTTTGGAGGCCATGAGATTCTGATGGTGCGGTGTTTTTTGGGGTCCCCACATTTAACCCTATATCAACTTGAGAAGACGCTCTGCCCGGAGAATTGTGCGTCCAGCAGTCTGGGCCTTCTCTGCAGAATCTTCACAGCCGTTCCGCAGGTGGCTGTACAATCTGGCGAAGGGCTTCCACCGCACAAGCAGATGGGACACCAGCATCAAACGGAGTGGGCAACGCTAAAGAACAGCACTCCAAGGAAAATCCCGCATGCTCATTCCTGCCGCGCCTCCAAGATCTGACCAGTCTGACCAGCGGCAGTAGTACTGCAAGTCAGGCTTGAGGAAGCTTAGCAGCTATGGTCCTATGGCGATCCGTTTGTATGACACGGGCTCCTCAGCTTCACAGCTCCCGGTGCAGTTCATGGTCTCCTGCCAGCAGTCCATGACGACCAGCAGCGATGGGACTCCGTTTGTAGCGCCGAACTGTCAATCCCAAGTGCTCAAAGTGTCGTCCACTTTCGGGTGGCACACACCAATTCTAAAAGAGATGTGAATACCAAGAGATTACAAACCTGACAAGTCGAGGCTAACGAAAGCCAGCCAGGTTGTCAGACTACAAAAGGGGGGAGTAGGAAGCTTTGATGCAACCACCGAGTATGATGCAACTCGCCAGATGGCCATTTGAAACGTACTGAGCGGAGCAGACGATTCAAGCGCAGGCTAGTAAGTAAGTATCTTGCGACTCCCCCTACCCCTAGGCTGCGACTCCTGAGAAAGAATCAACTTCCACCCGCCAACCACCACCCCCCCCCCCCCAAAGTGTCCCCCGCACACCCCTCAACTCAACAGGATCCACGAACTCGAATGCAGACACGTGACATATTATTCAATCCTCTCCTCTCCTATCTTCTATCCTCTCCTCCATCCTATCCTCTATACTCTCCTCCATGCCCTCCTCCATCCCCTTCTCCATCCACTCCTCCATCCTCTCCTCCCTCCTCCCTGCTCTCTCCTCTCGCCTCTCTCGTCTCCCCTCTGCCCTCTCCTCTTTCTCCTCTCCTCTCTCCTCTCATCTCTCTCCGCTACTCTCTCCCCTCTCTCCTCTCCCCTCTTCTCTCTCCCCTTCCCCTCTCCTCTTTCCCGTCTCCCCTCTCCCTCTCGTCCCTCCTCTCTCTTCTCTCCCCTTTCCTCTCTCCCCTCTCCCCTCTCCCCTCTCTCCTCTCCTCTTTCCTCTCTCCTCTCTCCCCTCTCCCCTCTCTCCTCTCCTCTTTCCTCTCTCCTCTCTCCCCTCTCCTCTCTCCTCTCTCCCCTCTCCCATCTCCTTTCTTTCTTTCTTTCTTTCGTTCGGGCTATGGAGGCGAGAAGGATCTCACCTCCGGGCTTCGATGCCCAGCCCGTGTTGGGCAGACTCTGTCAAACAACCCCTCATGATTTCAGGGTCGGGGCTTCACCATTGGGGCCCTCTCCCGTCTCCTCTCCTCCTCTCTCCCCTTTCCTCTCTCCCCTCTCCCCTCTCCCCTCTCCTCTCTCCCCTCTCCGCTCTCCTCCTCTGTCCCCTTTCCTCTCTCCCCTCTCCCCTCTCCCCTCT